ACAAAGATATTCCTGTGTAGTTTGGTTAATATCAATTCATTGGTTTCAATAGGAGTCATGGACAATGACAGATGATGGAAGACGGACATCATGCTCACAAAGAAGCTTACCTTAGCACTTTTTGTGCTCAGATGAGCTAAATCATTAATAATCAACATCACCTGATTGGTCAGAAGACTCCTGTTTATCTAATTTCATGCCTGTACCAGTTTCAGACCAGTTTACCAAATTTTGCAAGATCTTCTCTGTTTCTAAAAATAACACAAAAATAACAACTATTGCCATGATTCCATAACTATCTCCTGCGCACTTGTCTTTAATTTATAATGTTTTCTGCCAAAATAAAGAAATTGATGATCAATGATCACATGATGGAAACAAAATGTATAAAGAAATGATGATCAATGATCACATGATGGAAACAAATGTATACAGAAATTGATGATCAATGATCACATGATGGAAAAACAAATGTATAAAGAAATTTGATGATCAATGATCAATGATGGAAACAAATGTTTAAAGAAAATTGATGATCAATGATCACATGATGGAAACAATTTATAACAGAAATTGAATGATCAATGATCACATGATGGAAACAAATGTATACAGAAATTGATGATCAATGATCACATGATGGAAACAAATGTATAAAGAAATTGATGATCAATGATCACATGATGGAAACAAATGTATAAAGAAATTGATGATCAATGATCACATGATGGAAACAAATTTATTATATACCTATAAATTTTCTCGCTAAAATACACGCAAATATTGAAGCGCAAATACGCTTCAGCGGATAGAAATTTCCGTATTATGTTAGTGACAAATACGGGTACCATATATGGAAGTGCCGGACTTATTTTTGACGTTTTGGTTCCGATCTTAAGCCTTGTATAACGTTGCATTTGGAAACGGGAACCAAATTAATTAAAGGCGTGGCCAGTTTGCAAGAATTACGTATTCATCCGTCAGTCATGAATTTATTTTCTTGACAAATGCATTTCATTTCTGAATAAAACGAAAAGGTATATAATAAAAGGAAAATTATGTTATAGTAGCTTTCTGAGACTATGTATTTTTCTACTCGCAACGTTGGAAAATTGATATCTCGCTCGACCTTCGGTCTTGCGAGATATCAATTTTCCACCGCTGCTCGTAGAAAAATACAAAGCATCAGAAAGCTACTACAACATAATATTCCGTATGTATACAGAAATTGTATCACATTACCTTGCCACTTTCGTGACTCCATAAAAATGGTATTGCATGACTGTGCATGTATTTGATGTGACCTCATTTGCATAATGCAAACATTGTGTAAAGTTTGAATAAATGTTACTATAGCACAGTAATCAAAACGTGATTATTTTCTCATGTTCACTGTGTTCTTATTTTTATTTGCTTTGTGATAAAATAAAATATTATTCTTTGTGTAAGTTCATTACTAAAATTTATTGATCTCATTGAATAAAATAATGTAAAGCTTGCATAATTATTTTTTTCAACTCATTGACATTCAATACATTCAGTATAGAACCTATACTCATTCAGTATCATCTATATGTTTATTTAATTAAAAATTCTGAATCACCACATTTCTTAATAACTTCCATGGCAAACATTTTAAATATTTCAAATATTCATACTTCAAAATTCAAAGCCCTAGACATTGGAAGACATTATTTTGGAATTTAAATACAGAATTACCCGCAAGGTAATCAATTAAATATGCTACAGTGGTCAAAATGAAACTAGAAGTGACTCTCAAGACAGTGTACTGAACTATAGAACAGCATGATTGAAAGTGGCAACAGTGAAGGGCAGAGATATACCTGCAGACAAGTTCCCAGGACTCCGAGTCAACATCATCTTGATGCTCTCTATAAACACGAAGGTTCAACTCTTTATCCTGTAACAACAAACAAAACATGATTGTGTTTTATATGCTACCTTTACATTAATAGTGTCTGCTTCTCATCGTTTAAACTGACATTATGCCAATTCAAATGTAAGTGGTCAAGGTACATGTAAAAATACATAGAACTTGTCTTTTTGCCATAGCTGTGTCTGATTTTATATTTTACTATAAAAAAAAATAATCTATAATCCATGTAATGAACAGAAATTTCTATATACAAAGTTCAGAATGTATGAGGAATGCTAAATTCTTAAAAAGAGTGGGCAGTCTTTTGTAATTTTGGTAGTTTTTATATTGTATTATAAACAATTTTCATTAGCAATTAATGATCAAACATCATATAAAAGAAAATCATTTAAAATATATTGCTCATTCAACTTGACTTGACAGTGAAAAAATGAGCATAATGTCACTTTAACAAGCATGCAAATATGAATTATTACAGCTCATTCAAAGTTGTGTCAAGTTCAGTTAATCATTAAATACATCAAGTTCAGATGAACAATAAATTTGGCTCCCATTATGAAGTGGTATATGCTACCAACAGCAGTATTTTGTAAAATATAAATAAAACCTGAATTTCTACACATTTTTTTTTTTCATTTGGATGACACAATTAGGGAATACGAGGGCTTATTAATATTCCTTGCAGAATTCTCCTCCTTATATTTTATTTTGTCATCAAATCACATGAAAACTTGTTTACCAGTAAAACAACTTATTTTCACTTTTATTATCAGGTAGATATATATGTACAATACTTGAAAAGAATAAGCAGAAGTATAAGAATAAGATAAATGTATGACTTCAAAACGGCGCATGACATCAACAAATGACATTGAGTAGTGTGCAGTTGTGAAAGTTTGTGACAGACTCATAACTTTAACTAGTAGAAACACTTAAACATGTTAACAAGAGGGCCCTGATGACGCTTATATTGCTCACCAAATTATTAACTGAATTCTATCTTATATTATGGTTTATGGCCACCATACAAAAAATATTTAAATGTATATATTGATTTGGCTTTCTTTCATTTTCACATTATATGTAAATGTCCTTTACAAATTTATCACCTTGTTTATGAGAAAAAAACATTTTACAATACATTAGACTTACAAGAAGGTACCAGTATGCCATGCCATCTTTGTCTCTCCCGACAGGTTGAAATCTCATCTCTTCTACAGGGATCTCATTTACTTTGTCTTTAAATTTATTGTTACAATCAAACTGAGATTCCATCAAGTTCTGAAACATACAACAGGAATGGTCACAAAATCAGGTTTTCAGCCAATAAGTTAATCCCATCAAAACTGTTAGGGGCCTTGCACATAGAAGAGTATTCCTCTATTACTTAGATATAAACAAATATATATATATATAATGGCCATACTTTCCCTGGCAGCAAGTGCCACCCGAAGGGACTCAGGGCCATACTCTTTTTCACATTTACAAAGGCAAAAGGAAGCATTGAAGGAAACATATTGTAATGATGGGTTTGCAAAGCCTTTATTCTTTTTGTACAGAATTATCATAACATTTCATATTTGACCTTGACAGTCCATGTCATTAAGAGTCAATATCCAACTTTGACTAGAACTATCACTAAAGGTCATTTTATTATAAGTTCTCATTCATAACTCTAGTTATCATTCAGAAACCATTTTTCTACTTTTTAGTAACAAAGACATTGACCTTGATCTAAGGAGATAAAAACAATCTCAAACAAGGTCTCCACATAAGCTTCTATATACCAAGTTTGATTACAATATCTCATTCCCAACTCTTGTTATTGTCCAAAAATCATTTCTATATCATTTCTATATTTTTAGAAACAGTGACCTTGACCACTTTAGACTTAAGATAATTGTTCTTTGTCACCACTCACATCATGTATGACGATGTTCATAATTCTAGCATCTTTATTTAAAAAGTTATCTCCTCTTTAACATAAGTTCATCTGTCTGGCCTTCTCTAAAAACTGTTACTTTTAAAGAACTTGGAGTTTTTCCAACAAATTTACTCAAAAATAGAGAAAAGTTGAAACATTTGTTATACATATTCGTCTTGAGAAAATTGGATCTTTTGATTATCTGATACATGTATAAACATAATTTCCTTATAAGGCATGGAAACTTAACATATTATTATGATGCAGATAAACTAAGAACTCAAAATACAATATATTTAATGTTCATGCATGTCTTCCACAATGGTTTAACTGAATGACAACAGCCCTTCAGAATGTTGCCGATGTTTTAACCGGTAGGGGACTTTTGTATTGCTTGCAATATTATGATATAGCTTGTTCAGATAAGTTTCTTGATTGGGTCTGTTCCCTAATTGAAAGAATATTTTGATTACTCAGACAAATTTACATTCGGGTATATATTGTCCCACCTTGGAAGTGCTTTTGTTTATCATTTCATAAACTGGTAAGGGACTAAAATGTTTATCTTAATTATCTTTATGATACTATATGACCTCATAGGTGGAGGCATTTTTACCCAAGATGTATGATTCATTAAACTTTAATAGAGGTCTACTAGGCAATGGTATATCCCAAATATAGAGGCATAGTTTTATCTGCAAAAAGATGTTTTCCTATACCATGGTCTACATAAAGCAAGTGAATACCGGGACAGGGCCAATTTGACCTGAGGATCATGATTAATATAACTCTTGTAGAAATATACAACTTCTTTCTACATGCCAAATATCTTAGCTCTGGGCTTTGTAGTTTCACACAATAAGACTTAAATGTGTTTTCCCATATAAATCAAGTGACCCCGGGGTGGGCCAATATTGACCCAAGGGGCATGTTTATTATCAGTTCTGAAGAGGTCCACAAGGGAATGCAACATGCAAAATATCTTAGCTCTTGGCATTGTAGTTTCATACTATAAGTCTCAAATAAGTTATCCTATAGAAGTCGAAACAAAATATGAGACCCCTTGGGTTGGGCCAATATTGACCCAAGGGGCATGATTTATTATTATATCAATTTTCTAGGTCAACTAGTCAATGCTACATTACAAATATTTAAACTATAGGCATTATTTCACAAAACAAGACTGAAATGTTTTTTCTCATACAAAAATATATCAACTAAGTGACTCCAGAGCTGGGGCCAATATTGACCCAAGGGGCATAATAAATACCTGTTTTGAAGAGGCCAAAAAAGGTAATACTACATTTATGGCAGACTACAGGTAATGGACAATCCTAAAAGCATATTCTGAGCCAGCTTAAGTGAGCTAATTACACGAAAAGAAGCTATGTTTTGTTTAAAAATTCTAGTATAAAAGTATCTAGTATTTAAGGACGTTTTCAGGAGTTTTCATATAGACATATAGGCAAAATTAAACTGAAGACAAATAAACATAAAAGCAAATATCACCTTGTATGTTTAACTTTATTTTTTGACTTATATGCTAACACAATTGGCCCATTTACTGTGCAGCAGGCAATATGTGAGCCCTCTTACATTTCATTTACTATGCTACCCAATAACAATTTATTTAAATATTGGCAAAAACATTCATCATAAGTTAAAGCATATGTTACTTTTTAAATACATGTACCATCTTTTTACCTTCAAAAGTTTCAGCTTGGTAGAGATTTTTGCCAACTTGTATCCAAACCTTTCTATCTCCCATGCATCTACATTTGAATATTTGTAGCAAAACTGAAATCAACAAAAGAAATCAATTTTTCTTTAATGATGAAACCACTACTATCAATATTAAACTTACTACATTAACTACATACTACATCATAGAAGAACAACTGCAATTATAAACTGAAGACATTCTAAGACCAAAACATGTAGTTCATAATATAACTTAAACTGTATACATGTATTCTTTTACACCATGGAGTATATAATCTACTGAAGAATATTAAAAGGCACAAGCATTGTTGAGTGTGGAATGCCCAAGAAAAAATACATGTCAAATAGCTTCAAATGTTTAAATAGCTTATGCCAACTTGTATTTACATCATCTAGTCAGTAAGAAAGACTTCACCAATGTCTTGAATGAATCCAGGTCAGGGGCAGGACCATAGATGACTGAAGACCATGGATGACTGAAGAGCATAGATAACAGAAGAGCATAGATGACTGAAGAGCATAGATGACTGAAGAGCATGGATGAGTGAAGAGCATAGATGACTGAAGAGCATGGACGAGTGTAGAGCATGGATGACTGAAGAGCATAGATAATAGAAGACCATAGATGACTGAAGAGCATAGATGAGTGAAGAGCATAGATGACTGAAGACCATAGATGACTGAAGACCATAGATGACTGAAGACCATGGATGACTGAAGAGCATAGATGACTGAAGACCATAGATGACTGAAGACCATAGATGACTGAAGAGCATAGATGACTGAAGACCATAGATGACTGAAGAGCATAGATGACTGAAGAGCATGGACGAGTGAAGAGCATAGATGACTGAAGAGCATAGATGACTGAAGAGCATAGATGACTGAAGAGCATGGACAACTGAAGAGCATAGATGACTGAAGAGCATAAATGACTGAAGAGCATAGATGACTGAAGAGCATAAATGACTGAAGAGCATAGATGACTGAAGAGCATAGATGACTGAAGAGCATAGATGACTGAAGAGCATAGAGGACTGTAGAGCATGGGTGACTGAAGAGCATAGATGACTGAAGACCATAGATGACTGAAGACCATGGAAGACTGTAGAGCATGGCGACTTAAGACCATAGATGACTGAAGACCATAGATGACTGAAGACCATAGATGACTGAAGACCATAGATGACTGAAGAGCATAGATGACTTGAGAGCATGGATGAGTGAAGAGCATAGATGACTGAAGAGCATAGATGACTGAAGAGCAAAGATGACTGAAGAGCATGGACAACTGAAGAGCATAGATGACTGGAGAGCATGGATGAGTGAAGAGCATAGATGACTGAAGAGCATAGATGACTGAAGAGCATAGATGACTGAAGAGCATGGACAACTAAAGAGCATAGATGACTGAAGAGCATGGACAACTAAAGAGCATAGATGACTGGAGAGCATGGATGACTGGAGAGCATGGACGAGTGAAGAGCATAGATGACTGAAGAACATTGATGACTGTAGAGCATAGATGACTGGAGAGCATGGATGACTGGAGAGCATGGACGAGTGAAGAGCATAGATGACTGAAGAGCATAGATTACTGTAGAGCATGGAGGACTAAAGACCATAGATGACTGAAGAATATTGATGACTGTAGAGCATAGATGACTGTAGAGCATAGATGACTGAAGAGCATGGACAACTGAAAAACATTGATGACTGTAGAGCATGGACAACTAAAGAGCATAGATGACTGAAGAGCATAGATGACTGAAAGGCATGGGCAACTGAAGAGCATAGATGACTGAAAAGCATAGATGACTGAAAGGCATGGACAACTGAAGAGCATAGATGACTGAAAAGCATAAATGACTGGAGAGCATAGATGACTGTAGAGCATGGATGACTTAAGAGATAGATGACTGAAGAGCATAGTTGACTGAAGAGCATAGATGACTGGAGAGCATAGATAACTGAAGAGCATAGATAACTGTAGAGCATTGAGGACTGAAGACCATAGATGACTGAAGAATATTGATGACTGAATAACATAGATGTCTGTAGAGCATAGATGACTGAAGACCATAGATGACTGTAGGGCATGAATGACTGAAGAGCATAGATGACTGAAGAGCATAGATGACTGAAGAGCATAGATGACTGTAGGGCATGAATGACTGTAGAGCATAGATGACTGAAGAGCATAGATTACTGTAGAGCATGGAGGACTAAAGACCATAGATGACTGAAGAATATTGATGACTGAAGAACATAGATGACTGTAGAGCATAGATGACTGAAGAGCATAGATGAAATTATGGATCTTACACAAGATGACTGACATAGCTAAGCATCATGCTGTATCTGTTTAATTTGTTTTATTTGCTATTAGGACCTTGATTATCCAACTTAAAGAAGAATTCTTTAATTTTGGTCTTTGGTATGCTCATTCTTTAACTGTTTGTGGCACTTGTTCAGGTTATGTTTGTTAAATCACAGTTATTGTGAAGCATTTTAAGTTATATTATCCATTCTATACACTACACTTTTTTCTATTAAATGCCATCTACTATGACTTGCTAAACTTGATTAAATGGCAGTTACAATGTTTCAGGCTTAAAATAGCAATACGAAAATAAAAGAAAACAAGAACTGGTTGAACCAGGTGTAAGATGCTCCTCGAGAAGGTTTTGGACACAGGAAAGTATAAAAAAATGAACAAAGGGCGAAAACTTCAAAATTAGGCAAGGCAGAGTTATGTATTTTTTGCACTGCACTTCTATCTATCTATAAAGTTTCGGGATGACATCTCTTATAGTTTCAGAGTAATGTCCCGGGTAAAATTCAAATTGTAAAAATGAACAAAGGGCAATAACTCCAAAATTAGACAAGGCTGTTTTTTAGGTTCTTTAGCATTGCAGTTCTATACAATGAGATCTATCTACCTACAAAGTTTCATGTTGATATCTCTTATACTTTTAGAGCTATGTCCTGGACAAAGTTCAAAGTGTAAAAATAAACAAAAGGCAATAATTCAAAAATTAGGCAAGACAGAGTTACAGTTCTTGTGCACTGCACACCTACTCAATGAGATCTATCTACCTACAAAGTTTCATGTTAATACCTCTTACAGTTTTAGAGTTATGTCCCAGTGTAAAAATAAACAAAGGGCAACAATGCAAAAATTAGGCAAGGCAGAGTTACAGTCTTGTGCACTGCACACCTACTCAATGAGATCTATCTACCTACAAAGTTTTATGTTGATACCTCTTATTGTTTCAAAGTTATGTCCCAGACAAGAAAAGTGGACGGACGGACAGACAGACATACTTTTTAGCCATTTTTAGTCACACAAGGCTTCAATATTGAACACAAGTAAAAACGGAATGAATAGGATCATCAATGTTACCCATTGTTCTCCAGGTCACACAAGTACCTCTGGGTTTGTGCGGACGGACAATGCAGCGACTATATGCTCCCCTGAAATTTTTCGGGGAGCATAACAAAACCCTTGATGCACAACTTTGCAAGTCATGCTGACCAACAGTCATGAGACTAGGTCAAATATTTTGAGTAAAGCAAGACACAAGTTGAGAATTGCAAATCTTTTACTAAGCCAAGAGCAATAACTCTAAAAATACTGAATAAATTCAGAAGCCAACCCCTAACGTGAATGAACTACACATGCTGACTAACATTCCTGTAAAGTTTCATGACTCTAGTCAGATATTTTTTAGGCTACACGCGACACCATGTGAAAATTGTAAAGTTATACTAAGTTTTTTTTAGGTTACACACAACACAAGTTAAAAATTGCAAATTTATACTAAGTCAAATGCAAAAACTCTAACAAAACAGAATTAATCCACATGCAAAACCCCAGGTGCACTGCTTTTCATGATGATCATTCCTGTAAAGTTTGTAAAAAAGAAAATTTCAATAATATGACCTTCAAGGTCAATGTTATTTATGAGTGAAGGTCAAGGTCTGTCTGGTTAAAGACAATCTATTCAAAAATAAGACACCAAGAAGGAAAAAAGTGTTTAAGTTTGCAGACGGCGTGGCAATACTATCACAACAACTCTCTTTTATCCTTTGAAGTACATTCAAGTCAAGCTTAAATTGGGAGAGCCCAGAATAACCAGCTCATAACAATTCTGATATCAATATTCTTTTAAAAATTAAAGTTATTAAAAATTAAAGTTATCATTTTTCAGAATTCAATACATGTTTTTAAGGATTTCTCCAATTTACCTCTGTTATTACGGTGCATTTCTCTGGTATTCCACTGAAAATTTATCACTGGTTTCCACTGGGATGGTATACCACCATTATACAAGCTGTAAACTTACAGTGGAATAACAGAGAAATTTATCACTGGTTAACCACTGGTATTACCAATGGAATACCACTGAATATAGCATATTCTACCATATTTAAATTGTTTACCTCAAAAAATTATTAATGTCATTTCATCTGTTACTATTTTCTTTCAGTAGCATATGAATTTAAAACTTCATTCATAACGGCAAAATGATGTCCTTTGCATTCAATTTTACTCTAAAATGCACAGAAAATTTTTCATTTTAAAGCATGCAACTTATCTGCACCACATGCTAGTACACACTTCCAGCATTTATAAAACTAATGGAAACACCAGCAACAAGTATTATTTCCACATAGCAAACTAAATCAATTCATGAAGCAATGAACAATTCTCATTTTAACATGCACTTTACCTTGACAACTCCTCTCTCCCATCTGTCTGCAGTAACATTTGACAATTTTTTGTGAATTCTTCTCAACAGCCTTACATGGAGATCTATCAGTAAAGGATTCACTTAAAAAGAAAAAAAATAAAGAAGAAAATAAAAATATTGTAAAATAACATTCTTGCAGTCATAAAGTGGTTTGGGTTTGCTGATATTGCAGTCAAAATTGTGTTAAGCAGCCAGTTTTGCTCACCTAATTATTCAGGCTCTTCCAATTGATATTGTTAACTATGAAAAAGTCACACATCAAAAATATTTTCAGAGTCAAGCGTCCTGCAGGAGGAGGCTTTTGTTTTGATCCAAAATCCTCGAAATTGGTGTCAGAAAGGTTGTTTTGATGATTTACTTGACCTAGAAATCATCAAAACAAAAAGATTTACCACATTTTGGCTGTGTGATCTAGTTTTTAACCCCAGATGACCCATATTCGAACTTGACCTAGAAATTATCAAAACAACCTTTCTGACCAATGTCGAGGATATTTGGATCAAAACAAAAGCCTCTAGAGTGTTAATATGGTTTTACCATATATTGGCTGTGTAACCTAGTTTACTTGACCTAGAAATCATGAAAACAACATTTCTGGCCAATTTCCACTAGAGTGTTAACAGGGTTTTTCACTCATCACGGATTAAAATCTGTATTTCATAATCATATAAACTATATTAAAGCAACTGCCAAAAAGTTCACTTTTCATTATAGTTTGTGCTCAATTTTCATTTATAATCTGTAAAGTCTTCTTCTAGACACACAAATTTGCATACTCATTAATGTTTTTTATTGTGCATTTTACTTTTAAAGGTCTGTATGACTAGCCTCTAGTCTACAGTGAGTATAGGTTAACTGTGACTCACATACAGCTGGAACTTATGGGAAAAAGTATGGGCCCATACAGCCAGCGACTTTCTGTCTGTTTCCCTCTCATTTTCCTTGTTCGTAACTTTTATTCATATGTATTTGGCGACATTTTATCATCTATGATAACAGTGAGGCTTTAACAGCAAAATATAATTTTCACTAATAACCAAAGTGCATATGCATGTACTGTAGCAATGAGCAATTGCATACATGTATGTCTTGTTTATTCTGCAACACATCCTTACAAGTTGAAAATTCTAGGTGGCAACAGTAGCGTATGTTACATTTAAAGGCATTAATCCTAATTAGCATGGGGCTTCACGCTCAGGTAAAAAAAAGTGTTTCCACTATGCTTGAATCCCTAGAGTGGAGAAGTCAAGAAGAAAGACACATAGTGTCTGATCTGTGTTTTACAACATCCTACAAAATAAGGTTGCCATTCCCTTGCCAGATTATCTCAAACCAGTAATGAGACCAACTTGTAGCTCCCTTTCCCATGCTTTCAAACAAATCAAAACAACTATTGACTATTACAACAAGGCTTCCATTAATATCGGCTATTTCAACAGGCATCGTAAAACAAACTTTAAAATTTGTAAATTACGACAAAATTTACCATTGCTGATGACAATTTTTATCGTCACGGGGAGCTTATTAATTTATCAAACATGTCATTAATATTGAAAATATAACAAGTGGGCCATGATGGCCCTGAGTCAGTCACCAAAAACAACTGCTTTTCAGTGTTGGAAATTATTCATTGTCAATATTTTCTACTATTAAATTTGAGCATAGAATATCTTTGAACAATAATTTGAAGAAATGCCATGACCTGGGGTATTTAAGCTTTAGCTTAAATGGGGCTAATCAAATTATATAAGCAAACTTGATAAAAGACTACCTAAGAATGCTATGTTGACAGACAAAGTTAAGTGATCATCCATTAATTATTTCAGTAGGAGATGATGTTCAATGGTTTTTCTATTTTTAGCTTGAGCGGCCCATAAAAGGGGACAATCAAATTAATATGAGCAAACTTGATAAAAGACTACCTAAGAATGCTACAAACAAAATTTGGTGGTCATCATCATTACTTCTGTAGAAATGGACGTTTCAATGTATTTCTATTTTTAGCTTTGGGGCCAATCAAATTAATATGAGCAAACTTGATAAAAGACTACAATGTACCCAAGAATGCTACAGACAAAGTTTGGTGATCACCCATCAATTAGTTCTGTAGAAGATGTTTAAAGGTTTTTTTCTATTTTTAGCCCTAGAGACCCCTAAAAGGGGCCAATCAAATTAATTTGAGCCAACTTGTTAAAAGACTACCCAAGAATGCTACAGACTAAGTTTGGTGATCATCCATCAATTAGTTCTGTAGTAGAAGATGTTTAAAGATTTTTTTCTACTTTTAGCTCTGTTGACCCCTAAAAGGGGCCGATTGAAATGACATGAGCAAATTTAAGGGCGACTTTCACAAGGATGCTACAGACCAAATTTGTAGTATATCTGCCCAGCAGTTTCAGAAAAGAAGACGATTGTTGACACATGACGACGGAGCATACCCCTTTGATACTAATAGCTCACCCTGAACCTTCAATTCTGGTGAGCTCAAAAAAAACTAAAAGATTCTTGAAATTTTATTTATACACGAGGACCAACGGTAATTTTTTTTATCTCGGACCACATGATTTTTAGTAAGCCAGGACAGACGGACTTCGCACAGACTGCATTCATCATACCCTATAAACAGGTGAATACAACCTGTTAATCCATTATCACACATGCTCGAATATTGCGAGTCACAACAGCTGTGTTTATTATCAGATTATGCAAGCGTTTAATGAAATTGTAAACCATTGAACGATAGAGATCAGAAAAATCAAGCGCCCTGTGAATTTTATGGCACAGTGGTGAGATTGATTTGGAGTTTAAGGCACAGCGGGAGCGCGATGCTTAAAGAGCCTGGAGAAAGGCCTGTGGACAACTTAATTTTTATTCAGCCATGACCGAGGACTGACAGATTTTTGCAGACTGATTAATTGCACCCTATAAACAACCTGTTAATCTGTTATCACATGCGCTGATTGATGACCGCTGTATTTATTGATTAATCATGTGATCAGATTTTCAAGTGCTATACGAAATTAAAAATAGGGATCAGAAAAATCAAACGCCGCGGTGACTTAGTAATGGCACAGCGGTGAGATTGATTTGGAGATTAAGGCACAGTGGGAGCACGGTGCATAAAGCGCCTGGGGAAAGGCCTGAATAAGATATGCATTTTCGACTTTCATATTGTTTTGAAAATTGCCGTATAAATAGCAAATACAGTGAGTCCTGCCGTACAGCTAGCCACTTCCTTGCATTTATTATCACTTGTCACCATGGATGTCTGGTCCCATGGGTCCTACTAAACAGTCTTTTGTGTATCTGAGCAGTCCTTAGCGGTCCGGCAACTCATAAAATTTTCACCAAAATAATATTTTTTCTTAAAATTATAATTTTTTTTCCACTAAACATACTACCATGTATTATAAGAATGCCCTAGGAAGTATTTTAAGGTCCTTTGTGCCTCCCTAGTAGTCCTTTGTGGCTCCTTAGCAGTCCTTAGCGGTCCTTAGCAGTGTTTAGTAGGACCGCTGGTCCCATGTTCAATAAGGCTGTTAGACAGATTGAATCAACATACTTGTCTCACCCTGACACACCAACCCTGTGTTTGTCTTTTAAACATTTATTCTGCTTTTATACCTGTTTTTAAACCTCTTACTTGTGACGTGCAATGTCTAGATTCCCAGCAGGGGTTTGACTCAATGGAAGGTAGTTTTTTTTATAAATATAAGTAACCCTATTAGACAAAGTGACAGCCTCATTCTAGCAACATTTTGATCACAAGAAACGTCTTCATATAAGACCTTCTAAGTAGAATAACAAATAAATATACTAGGTTTTATAGGACATATAATAACGCATATAATAAACAGATAATAAGGATACCATTATGGGTATAAGTCCTTTGTTCATTTTCCTATATCAAACACAATAGACGCCTTACCTTTTTTTCCGTCTTCGATCCATTCTTGAAGGTCTTTGTAACCAATTTCGGGTAAACCTAGTGTTTCGCCATATCTATCCATAAAAGAACAAATAACAGCGAAATTTGGATTAGATAAACAATCATTTTCGGCTTGAGATGCCATTTTGTTTATGCTAATCGGTCTCGTACTAAGTTGTTTACGAATTAGGCCTGACACTGCTTAAAAGTCGGGCACAGGCTAAAACGCAGACGTTCGTGCAGGACATTAGGATAGACGGGCAATAGAGATACTATGGAGGGGAATATCCTCCAAAAGTATCTTGATGACATGTTTATATATGTCGATTCATGAAGAAATCTTACTTTTTTCTCTGAAAATGATGCTTGTTGTATTATAAATTCGTTATATAGATTGTTGACATGTTATATGGCCGTATATAAACGGCTGTTTGCAATATAACCCTCGCCTAACCGTTAACAGCTCGGGTTATATTTACAAACAGCCGTTAATATAAGGCCATATAACCTGTCAACGATCTTTATAACTAATATATATATAAATGTATTCCCCCTAACGACCTAGGGATAAAAAGACAGTAGGGATTATCTACTGGTCATGACTAGTCTCTAGGTAATTGTCAAAGTCACACTGACCTTGTACGTAAAAACGGTTTCCGGCCAATAACTCAACAACTCAAGTTGCCTTGTTTGATATTTTTTATTAAACTTAAAATGCTTTTGGTATATACATTTCAAGGTCTAATGTAATATAAGAAATTGGCTGTCATTAAGGAGGCGTACATGATTCATAAAATGTATATTATTTGGTAAGATGTGTGATAACTATGTCATAAAAAGGTAATATACGTAATCACGTAAATTATTTATGTACTGTTCAATACTTGACTTGTAATTTTAATTTTGTCCCATTATAGACATATATTACATATATTTCCTTACATATTGGTGCTTTCCATATCTCAATTTTATAAAATGCGTTTTTGTATAAATTATCTGCATCATTTTCATAAAACGGGATGATAGATTATAAATTTGTTTTGTCTTCAAAAGTCGCCCCGTTCTTCACTTCAGTGTTGTTTTATTTTTCTGGTTCTTCGGGACCATTGAGTTCAGCACTTTTAAGTGTTGAGAATTGAGTACGGCTCAAGCCGGTGCCAGGGGGTGTGAGGGATGTTGCATTTTTTCATTATCCCTCAAGTCAGCAATCCTAAGCGGTCTTGCAACTTGTCAAAATCACAAATTCCATCTCCAAAATTATTTTTTTTCTTAAAATATTACATTTTTTATCATTAAACATGTAGTAAACATACTGAAATATAAGAATGCCCTAGGAGGTGTTTTAAGGTCTTTTGTGCCTCCTAAATAGTCCTTTTGTGCCCCCACAGCGATCAATCAACTCATCTAAAGCATAAATTCTATCAGGAAAATTATATTATTTCTTAAAATAATACATTTTTTGTCACTGAACATACAGAAATATATTATAAGAATACACTAGGAGATATCTTAAGGTCCTTTGTGCCTCCCTAGCAGTCCTTTGTGCCTCTTAGCAGTTTTTTGTGCCTCTCAGCAGTCCTTAGCGGTCCTGCAAATCGTCAAAATCACAAATTCTATCAACAATTTTTTTTCCTTAAAATAATACATTTTTAATTACAAAACATACTGAAATATGTTATATGAATGCCCAATGAGGTATTTAAATGTCCTTTATGTCTCCCTAGCAGTCCTTTGTGCCTCTCAGCAGTCCTTAGCGGTCCTGTAACTCGTCAAAATCATAAAATCTATCACCAAAATTATATATATTTTTTTTAAATAATACATTTTGTATCACTTAACTAGTAGTTAACATACTGAAATATGTTATAAGAATGCCCTAGGATGTATTTTAATGTCCTTTATGCCTCCATTGCAGTCCTTTGTGCCCCTATAGCAGTCCTTATAGCGGTCCTGTAACTCATCAAAATCATAAATTCTATCACTAAAATTATATTTTTTCTTAAAATAATACATTTTTTTATCACTAAACTAGCTAGTTAACATATTATACTGAAATATGTTATAAGAATGCCCTAGCTAGGAGGTATTTAAAGGTTCTTTGTGTCTCCTAAGTAGTCCTTTGTGCCCCTATAGCAGTCCTTAGCGGTCGTTCAACTCATCCAAAGCATAAATTCTATCAGAAAATTATATTTTTTTCTTAAAATAATACATTTTTATCACTAAACTAGTAGTAAAAATACTGAAGTTTGTTATAAAAATGCCCTAGGAGGTAGCTTAAGGTACTTTGTGCCTCCCTAGCAGTCCTTTGTGCTATTATAAGAATATGCTATTATATTATAAGAATGCCAAGGAGGTATTTTAAGGTCCTAAATACCTTCCTAGCAGTCCTTTGTGCCTCTTAGCAGTCCTTAGTGATCCTGCATCACATCGAAACACCAAAATTTGATTTTTTCTCAAAATAATACAATTTTTATCTCTTAACTTTCTGAAATATGTTATAAAAATGCCCTAGGAGGTATTTCAAGGTCCTTTGTGCCTCCTAAGGCAGTCCTGTGTGCCTCCTTAGCAGCCCTTAGCGGTCCTTAGTAGTCCTTAGCAGTGTTTAGTAGGACCGATCATGGGTATAATTGTGCGCGTGACTGTCACGTGATTATACAATAATACAAAATGACGGACAAGCAAACAGAGAAAACTCCTTTAATAAAAGAATATGATGGCGAGGAGGAAGAACTTTCAGCATGCGGGGCAACATTGGCATGCAATCCTAGGAGGCCACTTCATCGATACCTCGTCTTGATTATTATGTGTTTTCTTAGTTTTGGTAAGATCCCTTTTCATTTCCTCCTAAATTATGAAAGTGATGTAAAAAGTCGCTGCGCTTGATTCGAACTCATTTCCTCATCACTGTATAGACGAGTGGAATAATTTGCCAGAAGATATTGTCATTAAAGAATCTATCTATCTTCCATTAATGTCAAACCCCTCACGGGGACGTAGACTTCAACTTCATCGGGGTTACTCGACAATATCCACCATGTAGACATCGACGTCGATGGGGTAAAGACTGTACATCTGTGTAAAGAGGCGTGTTCTCACATAAATTTTTAAAACTATACTACACAATTGTATCACAACTGTCCCATGATGGTGTTCCACACTACACCCTAAAAGGTCTGGTGACCAACATGTATTTACACTTTATACGGCTTCGAACACTTCACCCCCAGACACTTCACGCTAGGCCCTTTTTTGCAGACACTTCCCCCTCAGACAGTTCACCCCTCATTTTAAGATATTTGATTGAGACACTTCACCCCTCATTTTTTTAATTTGTGTTTAACAATTATTTATGTAGAAAATGTTAAATACATTCAATAGTGATTGAGAATGTTTATTGTTTTAACATATTTTATTATTATTTTGTCATGTATCAGTTTGTTCCTTACCATATAATAATCAAGTTATGTTCATTTGGTGATGATTTGTGCTTTAACCTTGTGCTTAATTTACACAACTGGTGCTTTTTATTTGTTTAATAAATGACATTATGAATGATCTTCGTATTAAATGCAGGATAATTGTATCTGATAATGATGATAAATAATTTATATTTACTATATTTTATAAAGCAACCGATTCATTCATTCATATTCATTTATATTCATTTTATTTATTTATTTATTTATTTATTTATTTATTCAACATTATAAATAAATTTAATTTTCATACAATTATACCATTTTAATTCAATTATCTAATCAATAATGAGATAAATGTTGAATAAACAACCAATCAATATATTGAATAAACAAGGTGACATGCAATAAACATTTAATGGATGAAAGTGCTTTGTATGTCATTTGGCAATACAACCAATTAACCTAAATCAGCTTTAAACTTAGTAAAAATAAAGGTATTAAGCAAAATTTTTAATCAAATTATACTAAAAATAATTTATATAAACATATATAAGCATTTTGTTGTTGACTAACTTGTTTTATTTACTTTATAGAAAAAAAATGGATGAGGGGTGAAGTGTCTTACTGATTTTGGGGGGTGAAGTGTCTTAAGGGGTGAAGTGTCTTCAAAATTTGAGGGGTGAAGTGTCTGGGGGGTGAAGTGTCTTGCTACCCTTTATACAAGGTGGTGTTCATTTATACATATGATGTAACACCTTGAACGAGCTTGATGGAAGATTTAAACTCCTCCAGGCTCTCAGAAGTAACACAAGAATCTGGTATAATATTCCAGGTCAAATTAACAGTCCTTGTTGATAAGTGTTGATTCTAGAATGAACTGGAATGAATTTCATACTGTGACTTCTCCAGGTTGAACGAACGGTGGGAATAGTGGGATGGTAAACCACTGGCACAGCTATTAAAAAGTTTATTACTTTATACATGTACATGTATGAGAGTCACATCTGCCCATACTCTACGTTGTTGAAGACTGGGCCATTGTAGTTTATTTATCAGTTCAGTGACACTAGAAGGATTGTGTGGGTTATACAGTCTATTCAATACCCATCTCGCGGCATTTCTTTGGATTTGTTCTATCTGCTTAACTTCAGTCTTTTTCTGCTTAACTTGAGTCTTTTGTAAAGGATTTCATATTGGAGAAGCGTATTCCAGTTTAGGTTTGACCAAACTAATGTAAGCTTTTTCTTTCACTTTGGGAGGACAGTATCTTAACTTCCTCTTTAGAAAACCAAGTGTACTTGCTGCCTTTTTTGTGATGTTGTTAATATGGTCGTTGAATTTCAAATTAATATGGTCGTTGAATTTCAAATTATCACTGAATTCAACTCCTAAATATGGATGCCGGTTGACTATTTCCAAGCTTTCGCCTTTCATTTTGTAGTCGTATTTCTTTTTATGTGGAGAAGATGAAAATTGCATAACGGCGCATTTTTTCACATTAAATTCCATTTGCCAAATGTCTGACCAATTTTCATGTTTACTAAGATCTTTCTGAAGAGTTATGTTGTCACTATGATTACTTATTGGCCGATATAACACACAATCATCAGTGAATAAACGTATACATGTATTTGATGTAATATTATCTGCGATGTCATTTAGTAGTAGATTGAAGAGTGTTGGTCCGAGGACTGTTCCGTGCGGTACACCAGGTGTTGTAAATTTTTGTTAAAGGGTATGCTGTGACCTTAACCTTCAAGGTAGTGACCCAAATGTTGCGCGCGACAGGTCGTCTCAATATGGTGATAATTTCTGTGAAATAGTTGTGAATCTGACTTCAAATAACGAAGTTATGGGCTGGACACGATTTTGCTTCAAGGTAATGCTGTGACCTTGACCTTCAGGTAGTGACCCAAATGTTGCGCCTGACATGTCATCTGAATATGGTGATCATTTCTGTGAAATGCTACTTCAAATAGTTATGGGCCGGACACAAATTCAGGACGTACATACGGACGGACGGAAGTTCTAACAGGACAGTAATTATGTGGCTACTCTATTGTCTCTCTATTGTTCTTTTTAGCCACACAAAAGAAAATAGCCACATAAAAGCATTATGGAATGAATGACATCAAAGAGAAAGAACAGTTACCTATTGTCCCTCTAGCCACATAATCACTGTCCTGTGAGTGACGGACAGACAACCCGGCGACTATGCTCCCCCAAAATTTTTCGGGGAGCATAATAAAGGTTTTGAGTAAAAACTAAAAAGTGGTGTTCATCATTTGACACCATAGAAAAAAGGTTAACTTGTCTTCTTTGGGTACTCAGCACTCCCTCATTGCAAATGCGTCCGAACCAGCTATATGTACATATTTAATCTTCTTTTGAATAAATGGACTGTACTGATTACATACACTAGGCATGTGATTTTATAAATCTGTTGTTAAATCAGGATCGTAAAATTTCTTTCTTGCTTAAATGTATCTGGTCATGTACATACAATAACTCCTTATCAAAATATTACTTAAGTAAAGGGTACTGTATTGTATCTGAAATAATAGCAACATCCATCTTTTTTTTGTGCCCCCACTTTAGGGGGGCATTTTAAGATTTACCCTTGTCCATCTGTCCGTCTCTTTTGTGTCGCACATAACTTAAAAAGTTTTTGACCTAGAGTCATGAAACTTACAGTAATGTTGATCAGCCTGTGTTGTTGTGCACCTGGGTATTTTTGTGTGGATTTAATAAGTATTTTTAGAGTTATTGCCCTTGACTTAGTAAAAATTTGCAATTTTTCAACTTGTGTCGCACATAACTAAAAAAGTATTTGACCTAGAGTCATGAAACTTTACAGGAATGTTGATCAGCATGTGTTGTTGTGCACCTGGGTATTTTCGTGTGGTTTTAAAAAGTATTTTTAGAGTTATTGCCCTTGACTTTGTAAAAATTTGCAATTTTCAACTTGTGTTGCATGTAACTTAAAAAGGATTTGACCTAGAGTCATGAAACTTTACAGGAATGTTGATCAGCATGTGTAGTTGTGCACCTGGGTATTTCCGTGTGGATTTATGTAGTATTTGTTAGAGTTATTGTCCTTGACTTAGTAAAAATTTGCAATTTTCAACTTGTGTCGCATGTAACACAAAAAGTATTTGACCTAGAGTCATGAAACCTTACAGGAATGTTTATCAGCATGTGTAGTTGTGCACCTTGGGTTTGGCTTGTGGATTTATCCAGTATTTGTAGAGTTATTGCCCTTGACTTAGTAAAAGCCGTTTCATTATGTTGTGTTATGAAATTTTGTTCTTTGAGTGCTTGAGTTAGATTGAACAAACTTTACAGGAATAATGATCAATATCACTGTGAAGCTATGCACCTGGGACTTTGCATGTGGATTTTTTCAGTTTTGTTAGAGTTATTACCCTTGACTTACAGTAGTATAAATTTGCAATTTTCAACTTATTCATGCATAGCTCAAAAATTATTTGACTTGTAGGCCTGAAAGTTTACAAGAATGTTTAGGTCAGCATGTGTACTTATGCACCTTGCGGTTTGCTTGTGGATTTATACAGTATTTGTAAAGTTCTTGCCCTTTACTTAGTCAAAGATTTTTTAGTTTTCAACTTGTGGCACATGTAGTCCAAAAAATATTTGACCTAGAGTCATAAGATTGACAGAACAGTGGAGTGTGGGGGCACCAGTGTCCTATCACTCCTATGGACACATTTATTTGTAGGTCATTATAATAATATATAAAAATGCTATTTTTGATGCAGTCTATCAGGTTCTTTTACTTCTCTTCTTTCTTGTTCAGGCTATTATTAATCAGAAAGTTATCGATTATATCCCATCCAATTGAACAGATAATCAATTGGGAGAAATATCACCCAATTTTCCATCAGTATTATATAATATTACGGCCCAGTGCTGCTTATATATACAACATATGCACCCTGGTGATTTATGATGTAATGGCCAAGTGCTGATTGTATATACAACATACATACCCTGTTGATCTATTGTTACAGCCCCGTGGCGCTGATACAAATCTATTTTTAGCTCGACTATTCGAAGAATATGAGAGCTATTGTAGTCGCCCCGGCGTCAGCGTCCGCGTCTGCGTTGGTTAAAGTTTTTTGTAAAGTCAAATATCTCAATTATTGCTTGAGATATTCAATTGAAACTTACAATACTTATTTATAGTAACAAGGTACATCAGATTGACAAGTTGGATAACTCTACCTACAATATTGACAGAATTATGCCCCTTTTTAACTTAGAAATTTTGGTTAAAGTTTTTTGTAAAGACAAATATCTCAATTATTGTTTGAGATATTCAATTGAAACTTACAATACTTATTTATAGTAATAAGGTACATCAGATTGACAAGTTGGATAACTCTGCCTACAATATTGACAGAATTATGCCCCTTTTTAACTTAGAAATTTTGGTTAAAGTTATTGTAAAGTCAAATATCTCAATTATTGCTAGAAATATTCAATTGAAACTTACAATACTTATTTATAGTAACAAGGAACATCAGATTGACCAGTTGGATAACTCTGCCTACAATATTGACAGAATTATGCCCCTTTGAAACTAAGAAATTTTGGTTAAAGTTTTTTTGTAAAGTCAAATATCTCAATTATTGCTTGATATATTCAATTGAAATTTACAATACTTTTTAGCTCGACTATTCGAAGAATATGAGAGCTATTGTAGTCGCCCCAGCGTCGGCGTCCGCGTCCGAGTCGGCGTCTGCGTTGGTTAAAGTTTTTTGTAAAGTCAAATATCTCAATTATTACTTGAGATATTCAATTGAAACTTACAATACTTATTTATAGTAACAAGGTACATCAGAAAGACAAGTTTGATAACTCTGCCTACAATATTGACAGAATTATGCCCCTTTTTAACTTAGAAATTTTGGTTAAAGTTTTTTGTAAAGTCAAATATCTCAATTATTGCTTGAGATATTCAATTGAAACTTACAATACTTATTTATAGTAACAAGGTACATCAGATAGACAAGTTTGATAACTCTGCCTACAATATTGACAGAATTTTGCCCCTTTTTAACTTAGAAATTTTGGTTAAAGTTTTTTGTAAAGTCAAATATCTCAATTATTGCTTGAGATATTCAATTGAAACTTACAATACTTATTTATAGTAACAAGGTACATCAGATTGACAAGTTGGATAACTCTGCCTACAATATTGACAGAATTATGCCCCTTTTTAACTTAGAAATTTTGGTTAAAGTTTTTTGTAAAGTCAAATATCTCAATTATTCCTTGAGATATTCAATTGAAACTTACAATACTTATTTATAGTAACAAGGTACATCAGATTGACAAGTTTGATAACTCTGCCTACAATATTGACAGAATTTTGCCCCTTTGGAACTTAGAAATTTTGGTTAAAGTTTTTTTGTAAAGTCAAATATCTCAATTATTGCTTGAGATATTCAATTGAAAATTAAAATGCTTTTTTATAGTAACAATGTACATCAGTTTGCAAAATTGCATAACTCTGCCTGCAATATTTGCAGAATTATTTGCCCCTTTGAAACTTAGAAATTTTGGTTAAAGGTCTTCAAAGATATTTACTTGAAACTTTACACATGCACTTAGGGTCATAATTGGAGGGTCATTATTGTATGTCACTGACCAAGTTCCTTAACTCTATCTTGCATTAAGGCTGATTCATATCCCCTTTTCTACTTAGTCTCTTGGTTAATGTTTACATGCAAGTTTTACATATCTCCATAACTATTAAAGATATTTATTTAAAACTTCACATATGCATTTAGGGTCAGAATTGTAGGTCACTGACAAAGATCCATAATTCTATCTTGCATTTAGGCTGATTTTTCTTCCCTTTTTCAACTTAAAAAATTCATGGTAAAATTTTGCTTGTAAGCTGTTATCTCCATAACTACTGAAGGGTTTGTGCCTTTTTTGGGACAATTTTATGAATTCATAATAAAAAAGCAGTGATTTACTTGATAAAACATCTTAATAACAAGCCTTTGTACCTTTTCTGTCAATTTTATGTATTCATAGGTAATTAGTATTATTATACTCAATTAAACACCCTTGTGACATTACCTTCCAAATAGTCAAGCCAATACTGTATAATTAGACTCTCTCTAAGGCCTATAACATGAATTTATAAAAAAAATTAGCCCTTTTGTGAACTTAGAATATTTAATATTATCAAGGCTCTTATTATATATATATTCATAATTGAACGGCCAATATTAACGCAAACTGACATTTGTAGTGGTCTGTATAGAATAATCCCCCATTTTTAATCACATTCTGCAAGGGCAGTAACTCTTCCTCAACGCATAAATCGCTTAAATGAAAGGGTCTATATCTATAGAAATGGGGTCTGTCTGTTTGTCTGTCTGTCCATCCCTCTGTCTGTCAAACTTTGGTCAATAACAGCAAGGGATTTTGAAATGACTTGTTACAAATGTTCACTATAGTAAAATAATGTGTCATGTGCAAAACACAAACCTGTTCTTCCAAGGTCACGGTCACTATCAAGACCCATAACTCTTGGATGGATTTCTACTGAAAAAAAGGCCTTTGTGAACTAAAAATGTTTTTGGTTCGTTTTGTATCAGTTTCCAAAACCACTTTATGTATTCACTTAGAACTGTACATGTGTCTTTGAGATCATAATAATAGATTAATTTTTTTTTCATGCCTCATAACTATGTCATGTACATTTATTTTGAATGGAATCTTCCTTTTTGTGAATTCCTACATTATCCAGGAACATGTTTTACTGACCAAGATCTGAGAATTGTCGAATGAGCTGTTCTACTGACATCTCTTGTTTGCTTTATTTTTTAGGAAGTTATTTCTGCTATGACAATCCAGCTGCTCTTCAAGATAACATGACACGAGATTTAAAAATATCAGTTGGTAAATTTATGGGCTTCTATTCCTGGTACTCCTGGCCAAATGTGATTCTGTGTTTCTTTGGTGGCTTCTTGATTGACAGGGTGTTTGGTGTTCGAATAGGTGCTGTCATATTTAGCTTATTTGTGACAGTTGGACAGGTATGAATAACTTTACAATATTATATATCTATAAATTTTCTGATAAAATCACTTTTACACTTTTTCAAAAGACATTTAAAATTTTATATTATTAAACTTTACTATATTCTAGACATATTTAAAAACAAAAAAATTACAAAAGTTTACCATCTTGTTTGAAAAATATTGACAATTAAAGTTCAACATTAAAGTGTTTCTGTTTTAAACAGCAACAACAATTATGTTTTCATTATCTGTTGAAAAATTTCACTTATTTAACATTTTCCTTCCTTGAAAAGTGATTATAATGAACTATAGTTTTTAAATAACTTCAAATAAATCAATGTGTATATGAAAAGATTTTTTGTTTGTTTATTGAGACAGTTATGTGTCATATTTTACATCAGATAAGGAGAGGGTGGGGTAAGAAAAAATGAGTCAGATTTTGTCAATTGTAATCGGGGCATCAAATATATTTTAATAATAATTATCTAGAAACTATTCTTGACATTTGTGCAAAATATAAAGAAAGTTTACCATGCTAATTTTAAATTATAAACATTTTAATTTATTATGCTGTCCAATTTCATATATTTCACAGTAAAAATTTATAATACATAAAACTTCAAATATTTCTTAATTATAAATTTTAAATATAAATTAAGAGAGAAAATAATAATCTAACAAAACAAAAAGAAGACAAAAATTGAAGAAAAAAAATTGCATATTCTGGGGTTTGAACCCATGCCCTATTGAAACTCTGTTTCCTCACTGAAAATGAATACTCTTCAGAAAGGAGATACTGCATTAGCCATCCAATACCTTAAACAGCAAAGTCTAGATATTGGCATGAAATATTGTTGAGTGGACTTCTACCAAGTTTGTCAAAATTATAACCCTGAGGTCAAAATTGAAAAAAAACATTGAGTGACTTCCATACCAACCTTTAACTTTCTTAAACAACAAGTTATTTCCATAGCAATTATTTTGCTTCTCTTTGCAAGGAGGGATTTACAGTAACCGTTGTTTTTCCATAGCAACCAGTGACTGCCATAGCAACCATATAGTTTCGAAAGCAACCAGTTACATTTTACGAGTGCATTATTTCAAATGCAGATTTGAACTCTGATATCAGATGACCTAAGGTTTTGACCTAATGACTTTTTTATTTAAATAGTTATAAGTATGAATTGTCTCTTGTCATGACGATCCTTTCTTAAATTCTAGTCAGGTGAGCAATATTAGGGTCATAATGGCCCACATGTTATAGTACCTTCAATGTTAGTCATTAGCTGGCAATTTTCTTGTTCTTGTTATGCGTATGCCAGATAACATTTGCTAGATTTGATATTATGTATATATCTTTTGAAATATAGTTCTAATACATTGTGTCTCTTTTCTCTTAGATTGTTTTTGCCACTGGAGCTTTGTTAAACAAGTATTGGCTGATGTGTGTTGGAAGATTCATTTTTGGGTGAGAATGTTTATGAATAAAATTTAATCATTATTAAATACACTTGTGACTACAAATTATAACAAATTTGCCATTTTAACTGATTAAGAGTGTCATGTGAGGCTATTATGAGTTTTTGGTCTTGGACAATAACATTTGGCCCTCTGAGCAGCACTAATAATAATTAGTAATTCCCATAAAAATTGTATTGCGATATATTGAAATTTTGACTTTCACATTGGGATATGTTGCAATATATTGTTATATTCATTTCAACTTTCAAAAAGGAACCTATCATGTTGGCACAGCATAGGTGTGAACACTACTAGTAACAAACAAATAGTCTTATATCATAAAAACAAAGCTACCATTTAAGAATCTGCTTTTTTTAGCTCACCTGAGCTGGCTAAGGGTGAGCTTTTAGAATTGCTGAATGTCCATCGTCCATCATCATTTAGGCTGTTAAAAAACTAAAGATCACATCCTTGCCACAGTTGTCATCAAACTTGCTCAGGATGTTTATCCCAGTGATTGTTGGATGAAATACTAGGTCACAGGAGTCAGAAATAGAAAAATCTTGTTAACAATCTAGAGGCTACTGTTTTGGTCCAAATATCTGCAAAATTTGTCAGAAAGGTTGTTTTGATGATTTCTAGCTCAAGGTTGAATATGGGTCACCTAAGGATCAAAAACTGGGTCACACAGCCCAAATATGGATGGATGGCGGACGGACCCTCATTAAGCCTAGAATACATGCATACATACATACAAGTGGTAACAACCTCATTTACAACATACAGGATCTTTAAGGAGGTCCTCTTCCTTTTGGTATCCTTTAGGTCAAGGTCACCAATGTCAAAAAATAGATTTTTAGAATTTTACAGGTGTAATCTCATTCTATTGACAGATGTCTTTTATATTTGGTTGGAACATAAAATTGAGAAGTCTTCTTCCTTTGAATGGATTTAGGGGTCACCATTGCTAAAAATAGATTTTTAAATTTTTGCCCACACAGCCTTTATTTATTGACAGATATCTTTCATACTTGGTAGGAAGATTACTTGCATGGTATTCTGCCTTTTGATTGAGTTAGGGATCAGTGGGTTAAGGTCAAGGGTGCCAATAATAGATTTCTACACATTTGCTTATACAGTTTTACATGTCCTTTGCACAGACCTGGGGATGATTACATTGATCAGTAATTGATTTAATTACAATTACTTTCAGATTTTATTGTAATTGATTACAATTGATTACTCAGACTTGTCTCTGTAATCAATTAAATTACAATTACTTTAAGAAAGTAATTGATTGATAATTGATTACATTCCATAAACAAAAGTTTCTTAATGCTTTTTAATATATACAATATATACATTATATAAACAAAGGATTTCCAGCTCATCAACAGTCATCAATTTAATACACTTTTAGTTACTGTCACATCACTTTATCATATTTTAGCATTGCACTTTAGCATCATAAGTTCATGAAACCGTCTGTCAGTCAGACTGCATCTATCAGGACAGAAAATTTTACCCGCAACACTAAACAAATGCTCTACAGGGGCTGATGATGCAGGAATGGTCCTCGGTCTTCTTGGTGTAGGTTTCATAATAAACTCTCTCTGCCACAGAAATTTTGATAAGTGTCAATTGTACAGTATGCTGTATACAGGTGTTAAAACAGGTGTGAAAACAATAAATTTTTTAATGGGAATTCAGAGACAATAGGCTTTACAAAGTATCAATTTCTTACAAACACTTCAATGGTACATCAGTATTCATTATAATATAGACACATTGTCTATCACCTTACAAAATACCTAACTGTTGCATATAATTAAAATATGGTAATATGCATCTGACATAAACTCTAGAATATACAAAGTAAAGAAGTTATCTACATTGTTTGAAACTTTTTAAAACATGGTTTAACCAAAATAATGTGAAACAAAATTTAACATAGTTACCTTTATGTGGATAATGGAATTTGAATGTGACTAAGTGTTTCCATTTATATTCCTAGGGCACAATTTGCAAGGTGCTGTCACATTTCCAGATGTCTCTTTAGGAAATTCAAAGACATCATTAATCCAATTATATGACATTTTGGTTGGAATACCAGCCAAACAATGATGTCTATCTTTCAGTTAGAATTTGGTTAACTGTATGGATTTAAACTTATTTCTGCATTGTGAGTGATGTCTTATTAACATTGCACTTGATATTTTACTACCATTATGGACAATCATTGTTTATTATGACAATTTCTATTATTTACTTCAAATATGGATATCAATAGATACCAACAATAATGAATATTCAAATGTCTATTATTTACTTCAAATATGGATATCAATAGATACCAACAATAATGAATATTCAATAAAAATCAATTTACACTCTACAATTTGTGATCAAAGATCATTATAAAGAAATATAAGTTCAACTGTAACATGTGAAATAAATATTTTGAATTTCAATAGTTTTATGTAAAATTTGAAAGTAATCAACATCAATCAAATTGTAATCATAATTACAGACTGAATTTAAGCTGTAATTGATTAATTACAATTAATGTAATCAATTTTGAGCAAGGTAATCAATTACATGATGATTACAGTGTAATCATGTAATCAATTAAAAAATCAATGATTACGATTGATGATTACCCCAGGTCTGCCTTTGCAACACTAATTATAAAAGTAAAATATTTTTTTCAGTATTGGTGGTGAGTCTCTTGCAGTAGCACAGAATACCTATGCTGTGAAGTGGTTTCAGGGTAGAGAACTCAACATGGTGTTTGGTCTTCAGCTCAGTTTCTCTAGAGTTGTATGTATTGTTAGATCATCCTCAAACGAGTCGTGTAAAAAAACCTAGAGCAGATTTAAATTTAATTTATTTTATGAAGGAAAAAACCAATTGGTGTCGGGAAACTAATATCTAGAGGGGCAAGTTGAAGTTGAGCTGGACTTGCCTTTAGACAAGTTTATTTGAAAAATTATTTCTAACACTGAAAAAACAGTTGTTTCTGGTGAGCGATTCAGGGCCATAATGGTCCTCTTGTCGTATTGTAGAACTTTTTACTTATATACTGATTTGATTGATATTTGAACACAGTATTTGAACAATATCATCATTCTTCCTGGAGTAAATATGACCTTGAATCCTTAATGAACATCACCATCAAATTTGCAATAACTTTTTAGCTCACCTGAATGGCTCTTGAATGTCCCTTTGTTATCTGTTGTCTGTCCACATTTAGTTTGTTAATACTCTAGTGGTCACATTTTTGCCTCAATTGTCACCGGACTTGGTCAGGAAGTTTGTTTAAGTAATTGCTGGGACAAGTTTGAACATGGGTCATCTGTGGTCATAAACTAGGTCACAGGAGCCAAAGATAGATAAATCTTGTTAACACACTAGTGGCTACAATTTCAGTCCAAATATCATGGAAAAAAGGTTGTTTAGTTGATTTCTAGCCAAAGTGTGAAGGTCATCTAGGGTCAAAAACTAGGTCACAGCTCAAATTTTAGAAAGCCTTGTTAACACCATAAATGTAAAATTTTCTGCAGAAATGTCCTTGAAATTTGTCAGCCTGAGGTTGTTTAAAGGATTTCTAGGTCAGCTTTGAATATGGGTCTAGGTTACAGCCCATATATGGAAAACCTTTGTGTACATTTGCACTATTTCAAGAACAGTATGATATAAGTTTAAGATTACGACATTTTATCTGCTTTTCGTTTTTATTGCTAACAATATTAATTAAGAGCCCTAATAATCATGTGAGCAATTTAAGGCCCTTCATGGCCCTCTTGTTAATCTATTGATAAATTTGGTTAATGATTGGACAAATAAAAGCTTGATATTGAGTAATTCAAATTTTTTTAGACATTTATGTTAGATGCTTTTCACCGAGTAAAAACGTGAATGTGCGGCCCACACTTGTAATGGCTCTTGTTGAAAATCTGGTTTGTGGAATTGTCATGTTTCTTGTTCTTTTTTTAGGGTAGCACAGTTAATATGAATGTAATGCAGCCAATATACCAGTACATATCTCATACAGTCCAGGGATACAAATGTCTTGGTGTGGCATTGTTTGTAGGTGAGTGTCAACTGACATCCCACTCATTTCAAATCATTTTAGAATAAGAAAATGTATAAATCTTATTTAAATAAGAAATAATTCTATTTACCTTTTACTATCCAATCTACAATGATTACAGTGGTGATATATCTATTGAACATATCCTTTTGTTGATGACAAGAAGATGAGGTTAAAATTACTGCATTTTTTAGACCTAAATTAAAATATTGTTTGTTTCCATTTCTTACTGCTACTCAAAAAATGTTATTGCCAAAAAAAAAATATGCTCTTCAAAAGGAGAGCATATTGGCACTACTTTGTCTTAAGTCCATTTGTACAACAGAATATAACATTGGCACCATTGTTGCAAAATACTCCTGTCACATAAGCTTTTTACAGAGATGTGGGCATTACAGATATGCACATAGGAGATATGCTCTGGGCAATATCCAGATAATATCTAGATATTTTATCATCTCTAGTGACCTTGACCTTGCAAATATTAACCTAAATTACATGTGTCACACTTGTAGTCATGATAGTTATCATTTATGTTATAATCCATCTATAAATGATGACTAAATGGTCCCTGGTCACATTTTCTATTTTTATCTTAACTTTGACATCTCTATGTGACCTTGACTTGGTAGCAGGGACCTGGATTATGCTTGAAATACTTAGCCTCACAATGGTGAACATTTGTGCCAAGTTACATTAAGATCCCCTGTGCTATTTTTTCTTTAAAAAAAATGTCTGATTTTTTTAAAGAATTTTAAGTCCCTTTTATTCAAACTAAAAAATTGTAACAGAAATAGTTTATGGAATTGCATGTTATTATGCATTGTAATCAACAGTTGAAAGAAAAGTAAAAACAAGATTTTGTAGAGGTATGTATAAGTTATCTGCCCTTGACATGACTTTGAATAAGTAAATAATTCTGATTCAAGGGCAGATAACTCAAAACTGAGTTTGATGACACCCAACTTTTTTCGCTTGAATATTTCCTTCATCATGTTCTAACAACATGCCAAGTTCAAAGAAATTCTATTGAACAGTTTTTATTCTGCCTATATGTTACCTCCGAGAAACATCCTGAAGTTGTTTTTTGTACAATGTTTACAGGTGGAGTAATGTGTCTCCTGTCACTGATATGTGCACTGGCACTGGGATTCTTTGACAAGAGGGCAGACAGAATACTGAAAAGAGCTTCAGTCTCTTCAGGTAAGATAACTGTATATTCATAGCTTTTTAACTCACCTGAGCTGGCTCAAGTTAAGCTTTTAGGATTATTGATTGTATGTCATCTGTCATCATCTGTCATTCATTAACATTTAGTTCATGAACACTCTAGTGGTCACATTTTTGGCAATTGTCATCAAACCAGGTCAGGATGTTTGTTACAGTAATTGCTAGCATGACTTCAAACATTGGTCATCACAGATGAAAAACTAGATCACAGGAGTCAATAACAGAAATATCTTGTTAACACTCTATCGGTTATTGTTTTAGTCCAAATATCCTGGAAATTAGTCAGGTAGGGTGTTTTGATAATTTGTAGTTCAAATTTGAATATGGGTCATCATTGGGGTATAAAACTAGGTTACACAGCCCAAAAATGTCCAGAAATTGGTCAGAAAGTTAATTTAGATGATTTCTAGCTCAAGTTTGAATTTGTGTGATCTAGGGCACACAGCCCAAGTATTGAAAAACCTTGTTAACACCCTAGAGGTAATACTTTAAGTCAAAATATCCTGAAAATTAGTCAGAAATGTTGTTTTGATGATGCTCAAGATTGAGTTTGGGTCAAAAACTAGGCCACAGAACCCAAATATGGAAAAACCTTGTTAACACTATAAATGTAATATTTTAAGCCCAAATATCCTTGAAATCTTGTAAGGTTCTTTAAATGATTTCTATGTCAAGTTTGAATATGGGTCATCTGGGGTTAAAAACTAGATGACAGCCCAAATATTGAAAAACCTTGTTTACATGTGTACCATTTCAGATGCAGATATTAATGTTATGACATCAGTTTAAGATCATTTATAGCTAACAGTATATATTATTACTTGTCTTAGTGAGCAATATAAAGTCCTAAACTGTTTAATTCTATGATAATGCCTATTCCTAACTATATGTCTGAAATTTGGGGCTTTTATAATTCACCAGATATTGAGCAAGTGCATAAAAAGTTTAAGAAACAAGTATAGGTATTAGACAACAAACATTTTATTAATGCTACCGTATATGGTTAACTAGGGAGAGTTCCCCTTCTTGTTTAACATCAATTTAGTCTAACTTGCCCATGTGACCACATGAATTAAGTGAATTTTGTCATCAGGGACCACTGTAATTTCTGTACAATCATTTTCTCCCTGTATCTTTAATGTATTAAGTGACTTTTGCTTAACGAGACCAGGCACCGCTAATTAGATTAGTCAGTTAATTGAGATGAATCTTTTCATCAAGTGATCATTTATACCTGTCAAGTGTTTGTGTAGAAATAGAAAGTATCAAAACTGATGAGATTTTTAGTGTCATGGGAAAGAAAAAGCAAGGGAGGAGCTTAAAAATTCTGGAAAAATGTCAAACAATTATGTAATGGATCAAAACTGTTTTGTCAATAAATATCAGAAAGTCATTATTTCAGCATCTATTTGGATTATAAGTGTTATAATTATTAATCATTATATTAAGTATATAAGTGAAGTTGAAAAACTTACCGCAAAGCCTTTTAAGGGAAAATATCATAAATAAATTTTGAATTTTTCTCATGCTTTGTCTTAAGAGACAGTTCCATTAAGTGATTTTCCTTGCTGAATAAAATGTTTAACTGTATTGTAAAGTTTGCTGAGAATCCAGATTCATTTTTAGCCTAATTATTTTTTTGCTATACTCTAACCTTGATCATAACTTTTTATGTACTTGGTGTATTGTCTTCAAACTTGGCTACAACAACCCTTGGGACAAAACCTTCAAGTAGACTAGACTAAACTTGACCTTCATTCATAAATGACCCTGATCTTCAAGGTCAATGTCTAAATTTTGCTTCGTTTTTGCTGATTCTTAGCTTTTTGTGATCACACTTTGTCCGGCATCCATCGTCCGTCAGTGTGCACTACTGAATAGGGGGCCATCTAACTGTAAATAGAACAGAAGAGAACAATAGAGTTCATTTCGTAACAATACAGTTAGGGGCCATTGGCTCTCTATTAAACAAAAGAAAATAACAAAAGAATTGGCCCCGCCATGGCAGTCATTGATTTTCATTATGTACATAAAGTAAAAACTTGGAATATCTCCTGAAAGTGTAAGGCCTAAACCTAAGATATTTTGTGTGTATTATCATCTGATGAAACTCTACAAAAACTGTTCAAACCTCATCCCAAGGAGTCATTGATTTTCCTTATACAGTCCGACCCTGGTTATTTGACAAACCTTTATTCGAATACCCGGCATTATTCGAAGAAGATCGGCGGTCTGGTTTTTATCTATATATAAATCAATACAAATACGAACTTATTATTCAAAATGCATTATCCGAAAACCTCCTCTAGTAGTAAAACTTCGGTCCCGATTATACAATTATGAAAGAATTTCACACCTATTATTCGAAGCCAGACTAATTGGCGCAGATCCACCCGCTGACCTTTGACTTGTGTAAAATTTCCAACAGTCATGCGTGTATTTAGACGTGATAATAATGCTTTGTGTGTTCTTTAATTTACTTTTCTTACAGACTATTCAAATTTATGCACCGTGTCGGTTGTTATTACTGTTATTGCTTGAAGATGACAGCAATAATTTACACGAATACTCTACATGTGAATTTGTCAAAACATTCAAAAGATTTTTTTTTTCTTCATTAATTGTAACGCTACATGAGAGCCTTTACCAAATCGGAAATACCAGAGTTTAGCTGTAAATACCGTAGTGACAACACGGCCATTATCAAGACTTTGAATGAAATGAAACAATACATAATGTAGAATAAAATGCAAGTATTTATGTCTTCAATACCAATGAAAATATTATTTTTATGCATCTTTTTTTGAATATTTATTTTGCTTGACTGACTGTTGGAAACCAGTGTGTTGTAATAGGTAGTTTTGCTATGATTGGCCAAAGTGGAGTAGTTTTCGTGTATCACAATATTCGGATTTCGATTATTCGAACCCTTCGATTATTTGAAGTAAATTTTCATTCCCAGGCAATTCAAATAATCGGGGTTGGACTGTATGTATAATTATTGTAAAAACTTAAAAAATCATCTCTGTTTTGACAAAGGCTAGAGGTTAGATATTTGGTGTGAAACATTGTGTAGTAGAGCTCTCCTATGATTGTTCAAATTCTTTATAAAATCCTTTACTTTTGATAACTAGGTGAGCGATATAATTACGGGCCATCATGGCACTTTTGTTTATCAATGTATTTTATTATTTATATTATTATTCTTTTACTTTTTTATATAAAAATTCCCTTAAATATATTATCACTACAATGTAACAAAACATTAAAAGACCTAAAAACAATATTTCTTATTTCTTTACCTTTTCATTATTATTTTGGATCTTGTAATGAAATTAACTTATTTCTCAAAGTATCTTACTGGCCTTTTAAAGTGCAAAATTTAATATATGGGTTGAAATGTATTAACTACTAGGGGCTGAAAAGTCATGTAAAAAGGGGTTTAAGAGTCAAGGGGTCTAGTAGTCATCCTCTTATCCTATTCCGGACAATTGTAATGAATGGGTCTCTTCTCTAATTTAGAGATTATTTTTGATAACTTTAAAATTTTGGTTACTTAAAAACAATTTTCGATTCGGGAATGTATTACCCAGCCTATGCTGTGCTCTTGTTTTGAACATATCAAGTAAAATAATACAAGAAACTGTTATTGTGAAATAAGCAATGATATTTTTTCAGATGAAGTTATAAGAATAAAGGATGTAAAGTACTTTGGATTTAAGTTTTGGTTGCTATGTATTATCTGTGTAGCCTATTATGTGGCAGTGTTCCCATTTATAGGACTTGGTCTGTAAGTAGTACCCTTATATTATTTACTAACATTCAATTGTAGCTCATCTTTTTCCAAAGAAAAATTTGAGGTATTGCTACAGTCATATTGTCCGTTCTGTTGCTGTCCAAAAACTTTAACAATAAGGACATTATTTTTTAATATATTGTCTTCATACTTGGACACTTGGACTTTATACTTCCAACAACCCTTTGGAAATGACCTTCAAATAGACCAGATTGAATGTGACTTTGACTCATAAATGACCTTGACCTTCAGTATCAAATGTCTTTATTTATTATTGTGTCGCCTTGAAAAGGAGACATATAGGGATTACTTTTGTCGGCGGTGTCAGTGGTTGTACCCTAAGGCTTGTCCAGAGCATAATTCAGTCTTGATAAGTCAGATTGACTCCAAACTTGGTATGCATGCTTCTTTTAATAACTCAAAGTGCAGTGCACAAGAATCATTACTCTGCACTTCTTAATTTTTGAGTTATTGCCTTTTGTAAATTTTCATACTTTATTTTTGCCCGGGCCATTTCTCCTTAATTATAAAAGCTATGGACTTGAAACTTCATAGGATGATAGATCTCATTAACAAGAAGTGAAGTGCACAAAAACCTGTACTCTACACTTCTTATTTTTTTAGTTATTGCCCTTTGTTAAATTTAATACTTTATTTTTGTCCAGGCCATTCCTCCTTCACAATAAAAGCTATGGACTTGAAACTTCATGGGATGGTAGATCTCATTGAGATAAAGTGCAGTTTTCAAAAACCGGTACTCTGTACATGATGAATTTTGAGTTAATGCCCTTTTGTTAATTTTCTTACTGGGCCATTTCTCCTAAACTATAAAAGCTATGGACTTGAAACCTCATTGGATGATAGATTTTATTGTAAAGAAGTGTAGTACACAAAAACTGGTACTCTGCACTTCTTATTTTTTGAGTTATTGCCCTTTGTAAATTTTCATATTTCATTTTTTGCCGGGCCATTTCTCCTAAACTATGAAACTTTTGACATGAAAACTTCATAGGATGTTAGATCTCATTGAGATGAAGTATAGTGCTCAAAAACTGGTACTCCATGATTTTTGAGTTATTTCCCTTAGTTTATTTTCTTCTTTATTTATCCCGGCCATTTTACCTACACTATAAAAGCTATGGACTTGAATCAAGAGTAATGCCCTTTGTTAATTATAATACTTTATTTTTGTCGGAGCCAATTCTCCTACACTTAAAAAGCTATTGACTTGAAACTTAAGAGGATGATAGTTCTCATTGAGTAGAAGTGCAGTGCACAAGAACTTGTACTCTGCACTTCTTTATAGGCTTGTCCAGAGCATAACTTGGTCATTATAAGTTAGATTGCCTCCAAATTTGGTACTTAAGCTTTTTTCATTCACCTGAATTGCAGTGCACAGAATCCTCCATTTGATCTATCCATGGTATTTTTATTTTTGTGCCCCCACTTTAGTGGCGGGCATTTAGATTTACCCTTGTCCGTCCGTCCTTCCACACTCACAGGAGAGTAATTATGTGGCTAGAGGGACAATAGGTAACTGTTCTTTCTCTTTGATGTATATATATATTCATTCCGTAATGCTTTTAATGTGGCTATTTTTTTTTGTGTGGCTAAAAAGAACAATAGAGAGAACAATAGAGTAGCCACATAATTACTGTCCTGTTAGAACGTCCGTCCGTCCGTTCACTTTTGTGTCGCACGTAACTCAAAAAGTATTTGACCTAGAGTCATGAAACTTTACAGGAATGTTGATCAGCATGTGTAGTTGTGCACCTGGGTATTTTCATCTGGATATTTTTAGTATTTTCAGAGTTATTGCCCTAGACTTAGTAAAATTTTGCAATTTTCAACTTGTGTCGCATGTAACTTAAAAAGTATTTGACCTAGAGTCATGAAACTTTACAGGAATATTGATCAGCATGTGTAGTTGTGCACCTGGGTATTTTCGTCTGGATATTTTTAGTATTTTTAGAGTTATTGCCCTTGACTTAGTAAAATTTTGCAATTTTCAACTTGTGTTGCATGTAACTTAAAAAGTATTTGACCTAGAGTCATGAAACTTTACAGGAATGTTGATCAGCATGTGTAGTTGTGCACCTGGGTATTTTCGTCTGGATATTTGTAGTATTTTCAGAGTTATTGCCCTTGACTTAGTAAAATTTTGCAATTTTCAACTTGTGTCGCATGTAACTCAAAAAGAATTTGACCTAGAGTCATGAAACTTTACAGGAATGTTGATCAGCATGTGTAGTTGTGCACCTGGGTATTTTCGTCTGGATATTTTTAGTTTTTGTAGAGTTATTGCCCTTGACTTAGTAAAATTTTGCAATTTTCAACTTGTGTCGCACATCACTCAAAAAGTTTTTGACCTACAGTCATGAAACTTTACAGGAATGTTGATCTGCATGTGTTGTTGTGCACCAGGTATTTTCGTCTGGATTTATTTAGTATTTTTAGAGTAATTGCCCTTGACTTAGAAAATCTTTGCAATTTTCAACTTGTGTCGCAAGTTACTCAAAAAGGATTTGACATAGAGTCATTAAACCTTATGGGCAGGTTGCTCAGCATATTTAGATTTGCACCTGGGGTTTCGCTTGTGGATTTATCCAGTATTTGTAGAGTTATTTCCGTTGACTTAGTAAAAAGATTGACAGAACAGTGGCACGGTGGGGGCACATTTCTAGTTTGATAATATATCAGTTTTATTAATCCTGATGTACAATTGTTACAATCAATTCAAATGCCACTAAAATTCAAGGGACGTGTAAATTGTAAGAGTGGTGTTTATAGATAACCAATATTTCAGAAGAAAATGCCTAAGGGTCACAGCTATACTATTCACAAGGTGACACATCTGACTCGCGGAATTCTAGTTAATAAATGAACCTCTACATTAATGATCTTTATGTGGTCCTTAACAAAATTTGTTAAGGTATTAGCACCCTAATGCATTACCTCCGCTTTGAAGAGTATTCAAATAGGCTAGAACTACTGTTAACTACATTGAAAATGAGGGGCCATGGGTTCAATCCCCAGAAGGGTCAACTTTTTTTTTCTTTCTTTTTTTCTTTTAACATTATTTATGTATCTCTCATGTCCCATTTGGAAAGAAAAAAGTGTTTAATTTAGATTTTTTAATTTATATAGGTATTTATTGGCTAAATTATGCTTAATCTAGTAATAAATATGGTACCTGATATTTTCAAAGTGTAATATAATCAAAACTAGACGGTAAAAGTATTTCATATTTTACAAGATCAACCAATATACCTTTTAAAAAATTTAGTGAAACTTTGAAAACAGGCACTCATTTGGGTAAATTTCAAGAATTTTTTAAATAAGGCTCCCTAAGTAGAAAAATGGTCAGACATGTGGTAAAAATGGGTGGGGTAGGGTAACATTTTTATACAGATTTCATAAATTTTAAGTAGAAACCATAATTTTGCTTATGTGGATTGTTAGCTGAATGATACTTCTTGTTTCTTACCAAAAATTAATGGGAAAACATTTTTCATTAGAATGTTATTGCAGATTATTTAAAGGATCCGCATTTCTAAAAAAGGGCCCTCATAACATCCTAGCTTGAGTTCAGAAAAGTGGCCATAACTTGATTTCCGTACGGTAAACTTTGTTTAAATTTTGCATACAGGTGTACTTTAAGGTATACATCTGACCTATGATGTCATTTTTTTAGTTTCTGATAGTGCCCATTAGGGTCCTAATACCTTAAAATGGTTTCATGCTTAATACAGAAATAAGACTTCTTCTCTAGCCCTTGGATGATTGATAAAACTGAATTGACAGGAATGTCCAGGTAATTCAATCTTGTCAATGTAGACTTTATCCTCTTGTGAGCCATTAAGGGCCATGATGGTCCTCTTGTTATATATTTTAGGCAGATGTATATTTTATCCTTAACATTTTCCATTATTAACCATTGGTCAGTCATCATTATAAATGGCCAATCTTTTGAAATACAAAGTCAATTCAGCTCCACTTGACAATGAAAATATGAACATAATGTCATTTATCTTTACAATTTCTTTTTTCCAGTGTTTTCTTTGAAATGAAATTTGGACTTGATCCGTCAGTAGCAAATAGTGTTAACAGGTATGTTATATATAAACTCAAGCTTTTAAAAAACTGAATCTTGTCAGCTAAAAAAGTTCATATAATTATACTTTAATGATACAGCTCTCAAAGAAATTAACAAAGTTTAGATGGGTGACTATCTGTTGCTTTGTGTCTCACTCATTGCATTATGTAATGTTATTATGTCTTTTTATGCGACTGCAGCATCTGCAAATAGCGATTCACCTATGCTAAGTGCTATATTTTGTTCCTAGAAAGGGGTTTATGACCATGAATGTCCCCTTTCAAAGTTGTTCAAATGGTTCTGGTCTGTTGCATAAGAAGGTCACAGGGTTTCAAAAATTCAAATTAAAAAAATCTTCTTGTCTTAAAGTACAAGGCCTAGAGCTTTGATATTTGGTATATATTATCACCAGCAGATCCACTACCAAAGTTGTTCAAATTTTGTCCCTAGTGTCAAAATTGGCCCAGCCATCAGGGGGGAGTGCGGTGGGAGGGTCATAGGTTTTCCTTATATGTATATACTAAAAACTTTAAAAACTTCATTGTGTAGTGGACCTCTGCCAAGATTATTCTAATTGTAACCGAGGGGTCAAAATTGGCCCGCCCTGGCCTTAAGCTAGGTCAAAATTTTAGAGAGAAGTGACTTCTCCCTCCAGCTGATTTAGGGAGAAGTGAGGAGACTTTAGGGAGAAGTTGGGAGACATATAAGGTGTCATCTCGAGACTTATAAGCTAGGAAACTTTACAAGCCGGAAAAGAAATAAGAAACACCTCTCAAATAAACAGTTCTACTATAAATCTACTTTTCATAAATGTATACCAATAGCTAACATAATATTTTCATTGATATACTGTATACATGTAGTGAGTATGTTTAGTTGGTTACAATATTCAGGGCAGATAGAGCAGTGCCACTTGCCATTTGCAATGAGTCAGACTGGTCATTGTCTACAATTTTTCATTTAGCGATTTGCCCACAAGCCAGAATGTTAGAGACATTTAAATTTGTATAATCAGCGTGTTAACTTTGCAGAGTTCAATGTATTGATAAAATATTAGATACAAATCTTCACAAAATTCCTACAGATAAGTGCTCCGAAAGTTTTTAACAATTGAGTTTTTGAACATATTCACACCTTTAAAACGTTAGGCATTGTTTATCTTTACTCGCCAAAACGCCGCAACAATTATGTATATGAAAGTGTCTTTAATCATGCAATCGGTGAAAATTGATTGAATCTGTCGCCATTTTGTGTAATTGTCAACAAATAGCCGCAGTATGTTAGTGTGTCGCCGATTGGTCAATGCAAACTGCCTCGGATACAATGTGCGTTCTGATTTGTCAATCGCATGAATACATAATGAGAAAGATATACATAGTGAACTCTTGCCTTGAGGCGTGTATTAGACTTTGTTGATGTTGACACACGTTCTTAACTAGCGGATATCAGATGGTATTTGGTTGCAATTGAGAAGTAAACAGAAAAATTGTTTACAGACCTAGCATCGTAGAAAGGTATTGCAGATCACTAAAAAATCGGCGACTTCAAAATGGCTTTAAAGTTTGTTTTAGGGGAAGTAGCTAATCCAAAGGTGACTTTTTGCCCAAGTCGCCCCCTAGCTCAAGCCCTGGCCCAGGTTGCCATTAATTTTTGTCCCCCGGCTGTCAAATATCTAAGTTGTTGTCTCTTGTTTTTATGCCCCCTGCCATATAATGGCTGGGGCATATAGTGTTACCCTGTTCCATCATTCCGTCATTCTGTCATTCCATCATCATCAGTTTCAGTTCATTATCTAAGTAATACCACTTGTCAAATTTCAACCAAACTTGGCAGGATTGATCCTTGGGTGAAGGGCTTCCAAAGTTGTTCAAAGAATTTAATTCCATGCAGAAATCTGGTTGCCATGGCAACCAAAAGGAATTATAAGAATAAATTTAAAAAATCTTCTTGTAAAGACCCAAAAGGCCTAGAGCTTAGATATTTTGCATAAGGCATTGTCTGGTACACTTTTACCAAGATTGTTCAAATTATAGCCCTGGGGTCAAAATCGGCCCCGCCCCCGGGGGTCATTGATTTTCACTATATGTACATATAGTAAAAACTTAAAATAACTTTTTGTAAAGACCCATAGGCCTAGAGGTTAGATATTTTGCATAAGGCATTGTCTGGTAGACCTTTACCAAGATTGTTTAAATTATAGCCCTGGGGTCAAAATCAGCCCTGCCCCGGGGGTCATTGATTTTCACTATACGTACATATAGTGAAAACTTTAAATACCTTCTTGTAAAGACCCAAAAGGCCTAGAACTTAGATATTTTGCATAAGGCATTGTCTGATAGACCTATACCCAGATTGTTCAAATTAAAGCCCTGGGGTCAAAATCGGCCCCGCCTCGGGGGTAATTGATTTTCCTCATATTTACATAGGGAAAACTTTAAAAAAAATTCTTCTAGCAATTGACAAATGCTAGAGGTTAGATATTTTGCATGAAACATTGTGAAGTGAACCTCTTGCAAGATTGTTCAAATAATAGCCCTGGGGTCAAAATTGCCCCAGCCCCGGGGTCATTGATTTTCAATATATACGTATAGTAAAAAATAAAAAAATCTTATTGTCAGAAGGTACAAGGCTTAGAGCTTTATTATTTGTTAAATGATATCATCTATAGGTACTCTACCAAAGATGTTTAAATTTTGCCTCTAGTGTCAAAATTAAAAGTGAACTTTGATATCAGCTGACCTAGATTTTGACAAAGTGTATTACATGTTGTCCTTTGATGCAGTCTTGAAATTTAGGCTGTGTGAAATAGGACCTTCACCACCAAATTCACTAGACTAAACTGCATTGATATATTCCTACTCTGATCTTTTATTGAGTTAACAATAGATTTAACCACTTATCTGATAATAAGAATTAGATATGCATTATTTCAATCTTCAATTGTATAGAAACAAAAAAAATCTGTTCCTACACTACTATTTAGTATTGAATTAATGCGGTGGCATAGCATTTTTTCTCAAATGCAATCTTGTTCAGTTTCCGTTCATTATCTCCCCAACGGTATGACACATTCAACTCAAATTTGACATGGATATGTCAAAGGAATGCTTAGGTCAAGTTTGAATTTGGTCATGGTTTGATGATTTTTGGCAGAGTTATGGCCCTTTCACTTTGAAAATAATAACAGTTGTTTCTGGTGAGCGATTCAGGGCCATCATGATTCTCTTGTACATGTATATATATTTCTTTCTGAATTTTATTTTTCAGTTTAGTATACATTATATCAGCAATTGCCTCACCCCTTTTTGGCTTCCTCATAGACAAGAGTGGCAAGAATGTATTCTGGGTTATTTTAGGCACCTCTGTTACGATAGGTTGTCATGCCATGCTTGCCTTTACATTTATCACACCTTTTGTTGCCATGGTAAGTTTAAGTGCATTTTATATAATCAAAAATTTTATATAATCAATAGACTATCATTGGTATAGAAAGTTATAATTTTGAAAATCATTACAAATATCGTAGAATTTCCAGATAATAACATAGTTCAGTGTTTTTCAATAAAATATTTTAAGATTGGTTCTATGTTTTTTTTTCAAATATTGATTTAAAATACTGTGTGGTTACTATTATAATTTTGGAAAGAAGTTGACATGTTTTATACTACAATTTAATCAAAGCATCTGTACTTATGTATTATGTATCCCAAAATTTTTGGGATACATATAGTCTTCGCCGTCCGTCCTGATGATCCATCTGTCTAACAAGCTTCTCCGGCTTTTACAGGTAAAACTACTGGTGGAATTCCAATGAAACTTAACAGGAGTGATCAGTACCAACCCTAACTGTTCATATTGCCAGCATGTTGCACTTTGCTGCACAAAATGGCCACCAGAGCTTAAAAATAGAAAAACCTTTCACAGGTCAAACTGCTGGTGGAATTTCTATGAAACTTTACAGGACTGTAATGTTTGACACAAGAAAATTTACCATTATATACGCCACCATGTGATCTTTAATTAGTTATGGTAATTAAAACAAGTTTATAAAAACTAAGTTCCAAAAAAGCTTAAAAAAGCAATTAAAAAGTAAATTGATCAACTCCAAAGGCTAATGAATCTCCCACAAAGGATTGTTGGTCAGGATCAGAAAATTTTCTAGAGAATTTTTTAAGAGGTTCTTATCCCTTAGTAATGTCAGTCTCTGATTTCATGAAAGATGGAGACATCAGAATCTCTCTTTGTCTTAATATTAAAAGTAATTCAACTTTCTGTTTGAATATATCTACAGGTAAGTGTATCATTTACACAAGTATTAGCATTTTCAATAATGCTAGGAATTGCCTTTCAAGTTCAAGTAAATAACAATAAAAACTTCCCATTTAATGGAAGTGCCTTGACCTAGGAAATATGTATAGTTGAATCCTATCTGCCACATTCATTTTGCGGCAAAAGATGAAGGTGAATGTGACCTTAAATAATGAATTATCTCTTATTTACTATCCAGCACTTACAAAAGTGGAGTGCACTCTTCCTTGAAACCAAATTACAATGAGTTTAAACTTGGATATTTAGTAGTGGTGACCTAGTGGAAAAACATCTGCCTTGTATTAAAGTTTGTTGTGTTTAAGACTCATTGGATATATAACTAATGACTGAAATACAAATGAGCCGCGTCACAACAAAACCAACATAATGCGTTTGCAACCAGCATGGATCCAGACCAGCCTGCGCATCCGCGCAGTCTGATCAGGATCCATGCTGTTCGCTATCAGTTTTGCTACTTGTGATAGGGTTGGTAAGTGAACAGCATGGATCCTGATCAGACTGCGTGGACGCGCAGGCTGGTCTGGATCCATGCTGGTCGCAAACCCATTATGTTGGTTTTGTCGTGACGCGGCTCAAATTTACTAGTAGCTTCCAACTTTAAAGCGCACTCCTTGTTTATGTCTCTCTGATATCAGTATAGTCTGACTGAACTGGTGTTCTTGTCATCTGAAATTTAAGTAAAGAAGCTAAAATGTGTTGGGCTTTATGACAGTTGCTCTCTTCTGTAAGTAGATACTGTCTGAATGCTTGTTGACCAAGAAGCTGGAATCACTCACTCACTCACTCACTCAATCAATCAATCAATCAATCAATCGATTACTTACTTTGATACAGTTTGGATAGTTGAGGAAATGTAAATGATTTGTACAGTTGTCTGCCTTAAATTTTTAGTATGCCATAAAAATTATCATATTTCATGTCAGAAACACTATTTTCTACAGAAAAGATCATAATTATTTATTTTCACAAGATGATAAAATGGATAAAAGTGTTTGAATTGTATATTAAAACCTTTGTATTTTTTATTTCTATAGAGTGTTATGGGCTTGGCTTATTCTGTATTAGCCAGTGCATTGTGGCCAATGGCATCAATGATTGTTGCTCAGCATCAACTTGGTACAGCATACGGCATGTAAGTTGACAACAATAGCTTTTCTAATTAATCTTCATTTGAAACCATGTATACACATTTGTTATGTTACATCTAATGTATACTTTTACTCTAGATATTTGGCTTAGAACAATTATAATCTTTTTTTAAGTAGTCATTTATTATCTCAAAATTTTTTTTTAAATAGAGGTATTGTTACAGTCATGTTGGCGTTGCTGTTTGCAAACATGTACCTTGATCATAACTTTTTAGCTGGACTATACAAAGCATATGGAGAGCTGTCCTACTCACCCCGACGTCAGCACCCGCGTCCAGATTTCAGATTAAAGTTTTGGTGCAGTAAAAATAACTTTTGTTATAACTTTTTTATTTCTTAAGGTATCAACTTCAAACTTCATATATATGTTCCTTATCAGCAACCATAACTTATGTGACAAGGTTCATAGCTCTCGCACCAATATATCAAGAATTTTCTCCCTTTGAACTTAGAATTTTCCTCAAAAAATATTATTTTTAGCTCACCCATCACAAAGTGACAAGGTAAGCTTTAGTGATCGCTTTTCTTCCGGCATCCGACCTCCGTCCTTCTGCCGTCCATTTGTCCTTCCACCGTCTGTTAACTTTTTACTTTAAACAACATCTCCTCATAAACCGCTAAGCCAATTCATCCAAACTTCACAGGAATGTTCCTTTAGTGGTCACCTTTGAAAATTGTTCAAAAATTTAATTCCATGCAGAACTCTGGTTGTCATGGCAACCGAAAGAAAAAACTTAAGAATCTAAAAAAAAAAGCATAGTGTTAGAACTTAGATATTTGGCATGAAACATCTTCTAGTGAGTGTCTAACAAGTTTGTTCAAATAAAAGCCCTGGGGTAATTTATTTTCCTTATATGTATTTAGTAAAAACAAAAAACTCTTCTTTAACAAAACTCAAAGAGCTAGAGCTTAGATATATGGCATGAACAATCTTCTATTGGATGTCTACCAAATTTGTTCAAATAAAAACCCTGGGGTCAAAATTGGTCGGTCGGGGGGTGGGGTGGTGTCATTGATTTTCCTTATATGAATGGTAAAAACTTAAAAAAGGTAGAGGTTAGATATTTGACATGAAACATCTTCTAGTTGTTGTCTACAAAGTTTGTTCAAGTTAAAGCCCTGAGGTCAAATTGGCTAGCCCCAGGGGTCTTTGATTTTTCTTATATGTATATATTAATAACTTAAAAAAATTTTTTTTTTCTTTTTTATTAAAAGAGAAAAAAAAGAGCTAGAGCTTAGACATTCATGTCCAAACTGTAACTTTTGTCATGCATGGAAGGATTTTAAAATAACTTGGCACAAATGTCTTACATATCAAGACAATGTGTGTCGTGGCTAAGGCTCATGTCCGTCTGTCCGTTCGTGTGTCCCCACTTACACAACAATCATGTCCAGACTGTAACTTTGTCATGTATTGAGGGATTTTGAAATAACTTGGCACAAATGTCTATCTCATAACAACATTTTGTTGCATCCAAGAACCACATCCTTTCTTCAAAGGTCAAGGTCACACTTATATTTTGAAGGTTCACACTTTTACAATTAGAGATTACAGGTACAATAATACAAAGATCAATATTAAGCAATTAGTTACTTTCATTCTCATTTCTTTTCATACTACCTGCATGCTTAAGAAACCATTTTGGGGGCATTCGTCACTTGGGTGACAGCTCTTGTTCTTTTTATTGGTAGTATCAGCAAAATGTCTTTCCTACAGTCTTTGTGTTTAACAATGACATTTTCTTTCAGAATGCAGGCTATTCAGAATCTTGGTCTAGCAACCATATCTATAGCTGCTGGAAGTATTGTAGATTCCAATGGCTACCTTATTCTGGAAGTATTCTTTTTGGCATGGCTTTGTAGTAAGTACTTATTTTCAGTGTTATTGTATATTTTTATATCAAAAGGACATAAGACATTTTTTGTGGAATTTAAAAAAACATTTTTTCAATGATTACAATTAAGATCTAGTAATAGAAAAATTGCCCCGTTTGATACTGCAAACAGTCTTTTATTAGAGCTTTTGTGATCACAATTTGTCTAGCGTCCATCATCTGTCAGTGCTTCCTTGCATCTGATGTCAACTTTTTTTTCAAATGTCTTCTCCTTAGAAACCACTGGGTCAAATTAGATGAAATTTTCATTGGATGTTCCTAGCATGAAGCTCAAATGATTCAGCTCTGTTGAACATCTGAATCAAAAAGGTTTAACAATAGATTTTAAAAATGAACTCTTTAAAAATCTGTTTTCTCTGAAAGCGCAAGACCTGAAGCTTAGATATTTTGTGAGTGTGTCATCTAATGAAACTCTACAGAAATTGTTTAAAATATATTCTTGGGATCAAAAATTGATCCCGCCCTAGGGGGTCATAGCTTTTCCTTATATAATGAATAATTGAAAAAATACTTTTCTGAAAAACTGCAAAGCTATATCTTAGATATTTTGCATGAAACATTGTCTGGTGAACCTATACAAAAATTGTTCAAATTATAGCTTGAGGGTTAAAATTAGTCCCGTCCCGGGGGAACATAGATTTTCATTATATGTATAAAGTAAAAACTTTGAAAAATATTCTCTAAAATAATGAAGGTTAAAGTTAGATATTTGGCATGAAACATGACATAGTAGACATCTATCAAGTTTGATCATACTATAGCCCTTGGGTGAAAATTGACCAGGGTGTCATGGCTTTTCCTTATATATTTAATACTTCAAAAATTTTCTTCTTGAAAACAGCTAGAGCTAAATCTTAGATATTTAGCATGCAACATTGTCTAGTGGACCTTGACAATTTTTTTTCAAATTATAGCCTTTGGGTCAGAATTGGCCAAACCAGAGGGATTTCCTTACATGTCAATAGCAAAAACTTTAGAAAATCTTCTGTAAAATAATGAAGGTTAAAGTTAGATATTTGGCATGAAACATGACATAGTAGACATCTACCAAGTTTGTTCATACTATAGCCCTTGGGTGAAAATTGACCAGGGTGTCATGGCTTTTCCTTATATATTTAATACTTCAAAAATTTTCTTCTTGAAAACAGCTAGAGCTAAATCTTAGATATTTAGCATGCAACATTGTCTAGTGGACCATGACAATTTTTTTTCAAATTATAGCCTTTGGGTCAGAATTGGCCAAACCAGAGGGATTTCCTTACATGTCAATAGCAAAAACTTTAGAAAATCTTTTTCTCTTAAACCATGAAGACTTAATCCTAGGTTTTTGGGGTGAAACATTATCTAGTAGACCTCTACCAAGTTTGTTCAAATTATAGCCCTTGGTTCAAAATTGACCCCGCCCCAGCAGTCACGGCTTCTTATAATTTAGTAAATAGTTAAAAAATCTTCTTGAAAGCAGCAAGGGCTATATCTTACATATTTAGCACAAAACATTATCAAGTAGACCTCTACCAACCAGTGACTTCAGATAAGCAGCCATTGACTTTCATAGCAACCATTGCCTTCCATAGCAACCAGTGACTTTCCATAGCAACCAGTGACTATCCATAGCAACCAACGACTTCCATTGCAGCCAGTGACTCACATAGTTACCATTGACTTTCCATAGCAACCATAGACTTCTTTTGCAACCATTGACTTTCAGTTGTAATCAGTGACTGTCCATAGCAAACGGTGACTTATCATAGCTACCAGTGCCCTCTTTAGCCTTCCATAGCAAACAGTGGCATCCCATAGCAGTTATTGACTCTCATAGTAACCTATCGACTTTCCATAGCAAACAGTCACTCCTATAGCAACTGTTAGCCTTTCATAGCAGCCATTGTCTTCCATAGCAAACTGTAAATTTTTATTGCAACTAGTGACTTCCAGAGCAAACATTGACTTTTTATGTAGCAACCAGTGTCTTTCAAAATAAATATTAACTTTCCGTAGCAACAAGTGAATCTTCCATTGAATTTCATAGCAACCACTGACTTTCCAGGTAACCATTTATTTTGTATAGCAACTAGTGGCTTCTTTAGTAACTATACTTGTCTCCTAGCAATATCAACCAGTTTTAAAAAAAACCAGTGATTTATGATTATATTATTATATGATTTACATGTGCACTATTTCAGATGCAAATATGAACTTTGTGATATCAGTTTAAGATTTAGACTTTACATCTGCTTTACATTTATAGTTTACAATGTTACTTGTCCATTGTCATTTACAGCATTTATAATCAGGTGAGCGATATTAAGGCCATCATGACCCTTTTGTTTATTATTGCTGAATGATACAGTGTTTTATAACTATTACCACTATTCCCTACCAAACAGCAGAATGATCTTTGTTGCTCATGTAATTTTTTGTTGTGATTTCAGTTGCTCTTATTGCTGCAGTATTACTGTACCTGATTGATGCTGCTCAAGGAGGTGTTCTCAATAAATCTGCTAGACTAAGACAGAAAGAGAGGGAATTGGAAGCAACAAATGAGTAAGTTACAAAATGTATTTTCATACCATCAAAAGGTGGCATATAGTGATAACAATATCAATCTGTTTGTTCATCCAGTACAACCTTGTATGTGCTTTACTTCTGCAGCAACTTGTCTGATTTCAAAGAAACCTTCAGGTATCAAACCTAGTTCTACATATCATATACATGTTTCATATGGTCCTCTGAATTTTTATAGTTCAAGTTTAATGCATAAAAGGCCTCAGGTCCATAAACATAATTATATTATACATGTATATCGATGTAGTTTATAACTAAATATGAAGTGCAATGTCTAGGATTAACAATTTCAATAATATCCACAAGTGGTCAGACGGTTTGTCGGTCCTCTTCATGGTTTCCAGACGATAACTAGATAGGAATGTGTATTCAAACTTGGTATATAGCAACCTTAATTTTGTTTACGGAATTGGAGTTAGGAATGTAATTTAACTCGGCATATAGCAAGTTTATGGAGAGACGCAGCTTTGGATTGCTGTTGGACCCTATAGGTTTAAGGTCAAAGCCAATGTAACTAAAAATAAAAAAAATGGTTTCCATATAATTCTTTTTTACAAAGATAATTGTTAACAGGTGATTATACTCTTGTAACAAGGCACTAATTTGTAATAATTATTGGTTCACAGATGCAACATCTTAATATATAGGTTGAGTTTAAATTTTGCTTAAGACCACTAATTTTTAGCTCACCTGAGCACAACATGCTCATTGTCAGCTATTGTGATCCCCTACTGTCAGTCGTCCTTTATAGTCTGTCTGTGCGATATCAACAATTTCTGTAAACAACATACAGTGGGTGGGTGGGGGGAGTCATAGGTTTTCCTTAGTGAATATTTAATAAAAACTTAAAAAATCTTCTTTGAATTGACAGAGGCTAGAGATTTGGCATGAAGCATTGTGTAGTGGCACTTTACAAAGATTGTTCAAATTATAGCCCTGGGGTCAAAATTGGCCCTGGCCCAGGGGCCATAGGTTTTTCTTTTATGTATATAGTAAAAACTTTACAAGATGTTCTAGCCTGACAGTTTAAGGCTTAGGGCTTAGATATTTGGTATAATATATTATCCATAGATCATTCACAAAAGTTGTTCAACATTTGTCCCTTGTGTCAAAATTGGCCTGTAGAGTTCCTTGATTTAGTAAAATTTGCAATTTTGAACTTGTGTTGCACATAGCTCAAAAAGTATTTGACCTAGAGTCATGAAACTTTATAGGAGTGTGCTCAGCATGTGAAGTTGTGCACCTGGGGGTTTCACTTGTGGATTTATTCTGTATTGTCAGAGCTATTTTCCTTGCAAATTTGCGTTGTGCATAGCTCAAAAAGTATTTAACCTAGAAACATGAATGTTAATAGAAAAGTTGGTCAGCAGGTGTAGTCATGCACCTGTGGTTTTGCTTGTGGATTTATCCAGTATTTCTAGAGTTATTGCGCTTGAATTAGTAAAAAAATGCAATTTTCAACTTGGGTTGTGTGTAGCCCAAAATGTGTTTGACCTAAAGTCATGAAACAAATTTATAGAAATGTTGGTTGGCGCACCTGAGGGTTTGATTGTGGATTTATTCAGTATTTGAAGAGTAATTACCCTTGACTTAGTAAATACTGTTCCATTATGTTGTATTATGTGTTCTTTGAGTGCTTGAGTTAGAATCAACCAACTTAGCAGGAGTAATAATCAACATCACTGTGAAGCTGTGTACCTGGGGTTTTGCATATGTTTTTTTTTCAGTTTTCTTAGAGTTTATTGCCCTTTATTAGTCCCCTACCGGTTTACCGGAGGGGACTTTAGGTTTACCCTCCGTCCGTCTGTCCGTCTGTCCGTCCGTCCGTCAGTCCGTCCGTCTGTCCGTCCGTCAGTCCGTCCGCTCCTATGAGCAGATAGTTCTGGGTTGCACAGCGAGTACGAATAAGACTTGTGTGGAAATTTGCTGCTTATGGGGTGCAACCCACAAGTGGCCATTAAAAAACACAAAAACGGCTTATTTTCCCCACAAGTAGGGACAGTTTTACTTGCAACCCGCAAATTACGGTTTTGTGGTCAAGGACAATTTTTTCGGCCAAGATTATAAATTAACTTCATTTGATAGAGCCCCATTAACCAATAAAATATCATTTACCTTACGCATGCGCAGAAAGCTAACGCATGCGCAGAAACGCGAACTAGATTTCGATGGCGACATCACGCGGTCACACATCTAGATATTGATATCGGTAGCTTGGATTCACAAGGCTTTGTAAGTATTCTGTTTTCATTAATAGAATAGAGCTAATATAAAACAAAATGTTTTCAATAATATCGAAATGTGCTGTAAAATTATTGTATTCAAAATACAGGTCAAACACGGCTCGTATTCCGCTCCGGAAAAACCGGATGCAATATGGCTGCCATAATTTGTTAGTACGAACAAAATATTTGCAGAACTTTCCGATTTTGGTAAATAATTGAAAGTATTTCACTCTAATATTTGTTTAATTAATTCAACAAAGTACTTATCTAATAAAATGATTTGAACCTTTACTTCATTTGCCATGTTTATCAGGCTTTATCTATTCCTTCTTACTTCATAATATACCGCATTTAGTGGGGTCAGTCATAAATTTTCCCTGAAACCGGTATTGACGTGGTCTAATTTATAATCCATGAAATTCACGTTTTTCTCGATTAAATTGTTTAAGAAACACAACTGTTGTAAACATTAACTAGATTTCTATATTTAAGTTACACACATGGTTACTATTTATAGATTTTCAAAAAATTAACAAACATCACCGATGAAAGGTCACATAGTCTGATAGACATCATGGAAATTTACCACTTCTCTATTATTTGTTATAGGTGTGAGGCGATAACTTGACACTTACTTTTCATGAAAACAAAAACAAAGGCCTATAAATCTTCTGTAAGATTAATTCTGGTAAATTATACAAAATCAGGGCTCGACATTAACGGTTGTCCGACTGCCCGGGACAACTAAAAGTTTGGTCCGGGCAAGTTATTTTGAAAAGCACTTGTCCGACAGGGCAAGTGAAAATAAAAAGCATCATTGACAAAATGCATGTACAAAATGAATAGAAATAACATCTTTTCATTTATAAACATCTTTAAAACAAAATACACCATGAATCATTATCAATAATGTGAATATACTACGGTCATGTACATTTGTTGATATAGGAAACGGAAGGAAAAATATGAGCATGCGCCGCGGTAAGGTAATTCCCCGTTCTAATAATAGACTATATCTAATTTTGTACAAGGTAATTCCCGGGTTAGCTGTCGTTTAAATTTTGATGTTTGCATGTAAAGATATCATTGAAAATATGTAAATAATCATATTGATCTTTAAATATAATTGTTAAATAATGTTTTTGCATTTAAAATGATTTATTGTTTAATCTAATATAACAACATTATGAACACAACGAAGACTCGTTTACGGCTGTTGACTTGATGATTGGGAATTACCTTACCGCGGCGCATGCTCATATTTTTCCTTCCGTTTCCTATATCAACAAATGTACATGACCGTAGTATATTCACATTGAATAAACAGATGAACCCATGTTTTAGAAAAACTACTAAATACAAAAAATATTTGTGTCTAACTAACAATCAATTTCATAAACAATATGTCCAGTTTATTACCTAATACAAGAAGTATTTAATAATGTATGAGCTTGTTTGTTTTTCTGATTTATACATTTTTACCATTTTAGGTCAGGACAAGTAAGTCTTAGGTCAGGGCAAGTAGTTTTAAAAACTACTTGCCCGACAGGACAACCTGATTCAAAAATTAATGTCTAGGCCTGAAAATCTCAAGTTATTAAAATTTGTAAGAAAAAAAATTAATATAGCTGAAAAAGTGCATTGTCTAAGACTCACATTGCAGAAAAAAAGCGAAACATAATTAAGTTTGCTAAATTATCACATAATACCTGTAGATGTCTGGGTGAAACTAGGTCACATTGATATTTTTCAGAAAAGAAAAGAAAATGTCTGGGTCATTCAGTTTATTATTTTTTTTTTCTGTGGGAAAAATTTGGGAGGTACCAATAGTCTTTGATGCTTAGACTAGGTTATATGTAGGAACACTGTCCTGTTTATTACTATTAGGTTCAATAAAACCCATTTATATATTTATAAATCTTAAACTGTTCAACTTTTTCTGTGATATCAAAAATACCAAGGACAGGCTAAAATGTGTACATATGCAGTTTTTCTTCCAGCTCCGATTTTTTTTTTTGGGGGGGGGGGGGGGTCATTCCTGACTCCTTGTATAAGATTTTAGGGGTCACTTGAAATTTTAGAGTGCCATGCCAAAGCATTTATTTTATTAACCAAGAAATACATAGGATACCTGGAACCACTATTTTATCAGCCTCTTCCCTATAGTTCATTTAGCCATTGAAAAATTAATAGGTAAATAGAAAAGAAAAGGTAACATATAAATAACTTGAAGAATCTCTACAAACAGAAAAAAAATCTTTAATGAGTTTAATTACCCCCAGTTAGCTCCATTCACAAGCCAGTGTAGGACCTGAACATTACAACTACTTTTAATCAGTGAGTCATTTGTTTACACAGTTGCATCATCCTCATATTTGGTAGTATACGCTATGTCACTAGCTGTACTGTATACAGGTAAAATGTGTAATGATTGGAAGAGGGTTGTGTATACAATTTTTCTTTTGACAATTGGATAATTAATTTATAGAAAAGAGGACAATAATTGGATATAATTTATAATGTTGTCCTCGTGTGGTGCATGAAGGAGAATTTTTCTGATTAATGGACAAAGGTATGAAGTAAGCAGTGCATGATTTGTATTTGAACTTATAAAACAGTTTGCTGTGGATTTGAAATAGTCATAATTTGAGATCTACTATATTACTACCCCGCCCTCGCCCACACACACACTACCTTAAGAAAATATTCATTGTATGTGACCAACATATACTGGCAAATATCTCCCATCACAACTATTGTAAACAATATTTAAATAAAGTAATTTTGATTCAGGAACTATGATAACACACCTCATAAGGAAACATATGTTTCTGTTGGTGATTTTTTTAATTATATATGAAAAACTGCATCATGAAAAGAGACAAAAAATTGTCTGAGACATATTCACAATTTTAGATATTGAATTGTTGATTTCATTTATAACCAATCAAATAATTTTTAATATTTTTAGATTGTTTTTCATCAGCTTTTTTTGCAGGCGCCGAAAAAAATTCAAATTTGTAATTTACGACAAAATTTTCAGTTGTTGATGTAACTTTTTGAAGGCAAAGTTTATGGTATTTATTCGACATGTCCAAAATTATGATGGTCAATATCTGGTAGGTTCTTTAAAGTTGAGAATGAAAAGAAACATGACTTATGCAGCCTTCTTTTGTTTTTTTGCAAAACAATAGCGAAAGTTTTTGAAAGTGACAATTTCTTTAAATAATTTCCATTAATAATCATGGATTACCAACAGTAACATTCATATACTGTAACAATAACATTCATAATACAGTATTGGGATTTTTTGTCTGTGAATTGGGGAATTTTTTATTGGGAATAAGACCGAATATCGGCTATAAAATCAGTTGCACTTGTACAGGATCTTTAGGTATCACACAGTGCTTGTAGATAAATCTAATCCTTGCCTCTGGGCGTAACTTAAACTGAATTGGCAACAACACAGTTGCTGCCAACACTACACCATTGAATTAACACATTTATAAGACATGATGTGCAGGTCCATCAGTTATATATTGCTTTTATTTGCTGATGTAAATATCACAATTAATTGTGCATAATTAATACACACCTGTCTCTTTTTAATCAGAGAGTTTAGAGAAGATTGTTCAAATTATGGCCCTAGGGTCAGAATTGGCCCCGTACCGGGGTCATAGGTTAAATACGGTGACATAGCATTTTTCACAAACGCAATCTTGATAATTATTTTTTAAAGGTCAGGACTTGTGGGGGTGATCGTCCAAATTTCTGGGGAAGCACATCAGACTGTACAGTACTTGTGGATGCATAAATACAATTACACTTTTAAAAGGACAGAACTAGTGGGGTGATTGTCCAAATTTCTGGGGAGGCATTTCAGACTGTACTTGTGAGTTGCATATTAAAGAACAGTTTTTATTTCATGCTTTCCAGTGTTTTATTGTAATATATCAGATGATTATATTCTGATAAACCACTAGTGAAATTTATAAAATATAATTTTCACTGTAGCCGGACTATATCTGAATGCGGATGAAAAGAAAATCAAAACTGAATGGAATAACAGGCAAAAATAAATGCCGTCATGCGTAAATTTTGCTTCTTTCGGAAAAGAAAGTTGAGGTCACCATACATTATGTTAAAAATGTAACAAAATTAAAGAAATTTAACAGAACTATATTTCAAACTTGTTGATGTGACGTCATGATGTGATGACGTCACGAAGGAGAATGCGCGACGTTACGCGGCAAAATCAGTAAAAATTACTTAAAATCACTTAAAACGCATGAAATAAAAAGAAAATTTATTTGTTTTACATATAAGATTGAAATATATTTCATTCGTGAACATCAGCTATTATATTTTCACTCGTGGCTACGCCACTCGTGAAAATATTGCATCTGGTGTTCACTCAGTGAAATTATATTTCAATCTTACATGCAAAACAAACAAATATCCTCTATATATTTTATAAACGGACAGGACTAGTGGGGTGATTGTCCAAATTTCTGGGGAGGCATTTCAGACTGTACTTGTGAGTTGCATATTAAAGAACAGTTTATGTTTTATAAACGGACAGGACTAGTGGGGGTGATTGTCCAAATTTCTGGGGAGGCATTTCAGACTGTACTTGTGAGTTGCATATTAAAGAACAGTTCATATTTTATAAACGGACAGGACTAGTGGGGTGATTGTCCAAATTTCTGGGGAGGCATTTCAGACTGTACTTGTGAGTTGCATATTAAAGAACAGTTTATATTTTATAAACGGACAGGACTAATTTATTGTATAGTTGCATATGACATGTTTGGCCAATTCCAAACTATATACATAAATGAGCACTTTTTTAGCTCGACTATACCAAGTATATGGAGAGCTGTCCTACTCGCCCCGGCGTCCGCGTCCAGATTTCAGATTAAAGTTTTGTTTGGTGCAGTAAAATATTTTTCACTATAACTTTATCATTTCTTAAGGTATCGACTTCAAACTTCAAATATATGTATATCAAGTATAATTTATTATATCAACCACATCTTATGTGACAAAGTTCATAACTCTAGCACCAATATTTTCAGATTTATCTCCCCTTGATCTTAGAATTTTCTTTAAAAAATATTATTTTTTACTGTAACTTATTTATTTCTAAAGGGATCAACTTCATACTTCAAATAAATGTACCTTATCATCATCCACATCTTATGTGACAAGGTTCATAACTCTAGCACCAATATTGCAAGAATTATCTCCCCATCAACTTAGATTTTTTTACTAGAAAATGTTATTTTTTTACTATAACTTTTTTTTAGTTTTTAAAGGTATCTACCTCAAACTTCAAATAGTTATTCCTTATAATCAATTATATTTTATGTGACATTGTTCATAACTCTTGAAGTAATTTTTACAGATTTATTTCTCTTTGAACTTAGGATTTTCTTTAAAAAGTATTATAACTTCGTTACTTTTTAAGGTATCTACTTCAAACTTCAAATATATACTTCTTATCATTTACATGCCTGTTGTGTGACAAGGTTCATAACTCTAGCGTGACTATTTCTAGAATTATTTCCCTTGATCTTGGAATTTGATTTAACAAATGTTATTTTTTTACTATAACTTAATACATAATTATACATAATTGATTTTTCTTTTTATAGTTTTGTCCTCCTTACTGTGTCCAGTATTTTATTAGTCGAGCTTGGCTGTCTCCTTTTGGCTGTCTCCTGTGACAGCTCTTTTTATTTTAGCAGTATTTCTCATGTTTGATTTATATCAAATGTACTGCCTTTCATTTTTATTTATACAATCCTATTTTTTAGGGCAGAATTCACTTTAAATATGATTTATTGAAAAGAAATAATGTCAATAAGTTTTAGTCAGAATAGTGTTGTTTTTTCCTGTTTCAGTATGGCACTTTGAATGTAGTTAGATTCTTTTAAGTGGCATTTTACTTACATACATACTTTACTAAAATAACAAAATTTGGCTCTCTATCACTTCTTTAGAACTATACATTGCTGTAGCCTAAGGAAATACATTAATTTGTACATACTCAGGAGTGCGAATTATTTTTCACATTCACAGATGTTGATTATTTACTGTACAGATTGTTTAATGGGGAATTTTTGCTGAATCTTACATATTATTTTATCCATTTTCAGGATACCTGCAAGCCAAGGCCATGAAAGAAACAGAAAGGTGTTTTATGGAAGATATTGAATATGCTACTAATGAATCAGATGATGACTCTGTGGAAGATAAAACATGCTCAACAAATCCTACTGAAATAGAAAGTGAATCAGATGATGACTCTGTGGAAGATAAAACATGCTTAACAAATCCTACTGAAAAGGAAAGTGAATCAGATGATGACTCTGTGGAAGATAAAACATGCTTAACAAATCCTACTGAAAAGGAAAGTGAATCAGATGATGACTCTGTGGAAGATAAAACATGCTCAACAAATCCTACTGAAAAGGAAAGTGAATCAGATGATGACTCTGTGGAAGATAAAACATGCTTAACAAATCCTACTGAAAAGGAAAGTGAATCAGATGATGACTCTGTGGAAGATAAAACATGCTTAACAAATCCTACTGAAAAGGAAAGTGAATCAGATGATGACTCTGTGGAAGATAAAACATGCTCAACAAATCCTACTGAAAAGGAAAGTGAATCAGATGATGACTCTGTGGAAGAAAAAGCATGCTTAACAAATCCTACTGAAAAGGAAAGTGAATCAGATGATGACTCTGTGACAAATAAACAGTTCTTACCTTATCCTACAGAAGTGGAAAATAAATCAAATGATGACTCTGTGGAAGATAAAACATGCTTACCAAATCTTACTGAACAGGAAATTGAATCAGATGATGACTCTGTGACAGATAAAACTTTCTTACCTAATCATACAGAAGTGAAAAATAAATCAAATGATGACTCTGTGGCAGATAAAACTGTTAAAGCTATAGACTTGAAACTTAATAGGATGACAGATCTCATTATGAAGAAGAGCAGTGCACAAGAACCGGTACTGTGTACCTTATGATTTTAGAGTTATTGACCTTTGTTAATTATTATACTTTATTTTTGTTCAGTCAATTCTGCTATACAATAAAACCTATTAAAGCTACATCAATCCTGATGTTACATTGTTACAATCAGTTCAAATGCCACTTAAGTTAAGGTACATGTACATTGTAAGAGTGGTGTTTATAAATAACCTATATTTAAGAAGAAAATGCCTTAGCGACTGCTATAATGTTCATAAGGCGACACATCCGATTCACGTAGTTCTAGTTGTAAACACTAGAAACAGGAACAGAGAACACAAAGTTGATTTAAATTCAAAAAAGGAAAAACTATTTTTTTTTAATTTTCTTATTAAAGATTTGTTTAAAGCGACTATCCAATATATGGTAGTTTGGTTATCTCTTTTAAATACTATAAAATGTACCACAGTATCATTTTTCGTATATATAAAACTAGAATATTGACTCAGAAGTAACAGATTATTGGTTTTGAGACTTTCATACTGTTATATTTTTAAACTGTTGTCTACGCTTTATTTTGTAAACATTGAAAAAGTTTTGTTTTTATGTATAGTCAACAGTATTTGCATGTGTTGTAAGTGAGTTGTTCAGTCATATTTCTCTTATGGAAATTGGAAAGTTTTACTTCTGCTCGTGTTTAATAGCTGTTACCATATACAGTGATACTTAATGCAATTTATATTGAAATAACAACAGTAATCTGTGAGATAGCATCTTTAAGGTAGACCATTTTAAGAGTATTCAAATGTAGGCTAGAATCACTAGCCAAAAGAGGCATTTTATTTTCTTTTTAACATTATTTATGTATCTTACAAATCCCTTATGGAACAAAAAACATGTTTGATTTTAATTACATTATTATTGTAGGTATTATTTGCTAAATAATGTCAAATTTAATAGCAAAATATGATACCAGATATTTTTGGTTTAATAAAATAATAACTACACGGTAAAATAAAAAACTACACGGTGAAAGTATGTAATATTTTGCAAGATCAACCAATAAACTATTAAGAAAATTTAAGCCCCTTATTTTGGTAAACTTTAGGGATATTTTAAATAAGAGTTTTTATATAGGGAAATGGTCAAATAAGTGTTTAAAGTGGGTGGGGTAGGGTAACAGTCACAAACATATTAAAAACATTTTGTCTCTAAACAACCATTTTGCTTGTGTAATTTGTTACCTGAATGAACAATGAACAGTAGGAAAACAATTTTCATAATAATGATCTTATAGATTTTTTAGAGTTTCCTCATTTCTAAAAAAAAAAACCTTCCAATAGCATAGTTTTAGTTCAGGAAAATGTCCAAAACTCAAAAACCACACAGTAAATTTTATTTTAATTTTGCATACAGGTGACCTTTAAGGTATATAACTGTCCTATGTTATCAATCTTTATAGTGCCCATTAGAAGTGGTCTACCTTAAACCATTTTATTTATTTGCCTATAGAAAAAGTAGAAAAGGTTGAGCATTGCAGGCATCGTGTGGTGGCTCTTGTTTATGTTGAGAGATAAAATTATTCGCTTTTACTCAGAAAATACAATTGAAATTCTTTTATGCATTTTAGGCATTTTTATGAAAGTAGTTCATATAGAATATAAATATTTTTCAATACTTAAACAGTGACATTAAAACGTTATTATTAACTAGGTTTTCCTATAAAAAATGTGTAAACTGAACTGGTCACTTTATCAAGTTTTGGTTGATTGTGTCTGTGCTTTTTGAGGGGATGGGGGGTTTGTAACAATTTTCTAAATAAATGCAATTTTTGTTGATCTTCATGTATTTTTTAGTTTATTAATTGATAGAGGATATTGAATGAGTGTAAGTTAAATACTGAATTTATTGAACTCATTGAATAAAATTATATTATGCGAGTCTCTGGCAAGCATATTCTGTTCAATGAGCTCAATAAATTTAGTAATGAACTTACTTGAATTTAATATTGATAAAGAAACATTTTTCATTAATGCATCTATAGAATGACGCTAACATTAAGGGTGTCTTATTGCTATGTTTTATGAAGCAAATGATGTGACATCAAAATATATGCACGGCTGTGCAATACCATTTTTACGATGTAGCAAAAGTGGCAGGTATGTGATAAATTAGTTTGTTAAATTTTCAAACAAACTTGTTATGATGTCTTAAGAATGAAGAATTGTATGATTGGAAACTGTCAATACTGTGGCGATTTTAAGGGGTATATTTTGCCAGTTTTGCAACAAGGCTCTGGGTGGCATTTGTGTTATTATGACGTCTCTATTTTTAGGGGTGAACAGCCCCAAAAATTGATGTAAATAATGCCTTGGTAAAGCATGTCAGAACATTTCTATCTCGACTTTTCACAATCTTCCTCACCTGATCATTGTTGTCATTTTTAGTATCACTCTTATAGGTCATGAGGGGTATTATAAAGTTTGATAACTTGTAATGGAATTTGAACATATGGCTGTTTTGGGTAAAGCTTTTTATGCAAAGTACTATGTATGTATATTTCATGCAGTCATTGATTAGATAACTTCAATAACGCCTACTTGGGACATGTAAAATCAAGTTGGGTATGAGACAGAATGTTTATAGTTTTGCATTCAAGTTACTGCATTTATCTTGTATATTACTGATATGATTTATTTCAAAATAATTAAATAAATAAATAATAAATTAAATAAACATTTTTGTTGAGCTGAACAGCAAAATAAAAAAAAAATGGTTGCCTAAATTTCATCAATTAACATTTAGCTCTTTTTATAGAATTTTTAGTATTTTGCAGTCAAAAGGTTTTACTAGTGGAGTATAATGTCTTTCAAATTGCCATGTTGTTTAAGGTTGATTGCAGGTTAATCTCTGTAACCACTGTACTGTAATGTTGAAATTCATGTTTTTAGGTCATTATGTAAGGACAGTGAGGCAAATATATATTGCCCGCATTTAGCTAAATTGTTACATGATTGTTTCAATTTAAATTGTTTGACCCAGCTTGGGGCCACCTCTTAGGAGAGGCTTTGCAGATATAGATAAGTAGTTTTATTAATTTTTGATATTTTATTATACTGAAGATGTGATTGGTGTCAATGTTAAGTCTAGTCATGATGCATAGTGAAATTTGGATAAAATAAATATTGTTCATAATCTTTTCGTTTTTCTCTCATTAATATAGTTACTTTGGTAAATGTGCCTTTGAAACAGACCAGAGAGCTTTGATGATGGTTGAGCTACATAAAATGAAAAGAAATGACTCGCTCCAACGTGCTATATGTGCACATAATGTGCCTTTACTATTTGTGTGTTAAATGACTGAAATGATGTTTCCATGAACATTCGATATCTTGCATGTAAAATATACAATGTGCACAAGTTTTGGATTATAATTCCCCACAATATGGACAAAAACACAAGTATTGGATATAATTCCCCACAATATGGACATCGAAGATATTACACACAAATGCATTTCGTACATTAAGGCACCCCACTAGTAGAATTCCCCAGAAGTACATGCTCATGAGTCCGTCCGTCCACAAAACTGGATCCCGCTATAACGCAAAAAGTACTGAAAATATTTTAATGAAACTTGATATATGGATAGATTTCAGTATGGAGATTATGCACGTCTTTTTCTTTTCTTCCTATGTTGAAAATTCTGGTTGCTATGGCAACAAATAGACTGAAAATATGGCAAATTTTACACATAACCTGGATCCCGCGATAACGCAAAAAGTACTAAAAATATTTTTATGAAACTTGATATATGGATAGATGGCAGTATGGAGATTATGCACGTCATTTTCTTTTCTTCCTATGTTGAAAATTCTGGTTGCTATGGCAACAAATAGACTGAAAATATGGCTAATTTTACACATAACCTGGATCCAGTGATAACACAAAAAGTACTGAAAATATTTTTATGAAACTTGACATATGGGTAGATGGCAGTATGGAAATTATGCACATCCTTTTCTTATCTTCCTATGTTGAAAATTCTGGTTGCTATGGCAACAAATAGACTGAATTTCAAGATTTCTGATTCTAGTCTGTAAGTTTTTTCACTATAAGTTCTTTATTTCTTAAGGTATTTTCTTCAAACTTTAAATATAAGTTGCTTGTCATCAACCACATCATATGTGACAAGGTTTACAACTCTAGCACAAAATTTATCAGAATTACCTCCCTTGAACTTAAAATTTTCATGAAAAAAACATTGTTTTTTTTAATAACTTCTTTTTCTGAATGTATTTACTTCAAACTTCATATAAATGTTTCTTATTATCACTCAACATTTGTGAGTGTTCAATAATCTAGCAAGACTATTTCCAGAATTATGCCCCTTTTGAACTTAGACTTTTTTTTGAGAAATTGGTAATTTTTACTCCAACTTCTTCAATCATGATAGGATTTTAAAAATAACTTTAGAGTGTCCTTCAGTCCGTCTGTCTGTACATAAAAACTGTTTCCTGTGATCACTTTTAAAGAACTTTTTCAACAAATTTACTTAAAATAGGAACATAAGTGAATGGCCAATGGCCCTTCAGAATGTTGCTTGGGCTCTTACCGGTAGGGGACTTATGGATTGCTTGCAATACTATGATAATTGCTTGTTTAGTATAAATTTGCAATTTTCAACTTGTTCATGCATAGCTCAAAAAGTATTGACCTGTAGTCCTGAAAGTTTACAAGAATGTTGGTCAGCATGTATACCTATGCATCTTTGGGTTGCTTATGGATTTATTCAGTATTTGTAAAGTTCTTGTCCTTCACTTAATAAAAGATAAGTTTTCAACTTGTGTCATGTGTAGCCCAAAAAATATTTGTCCTAGAGTCATAAGTTTGACAAATCAGTGGAGGGTTGGGGCACCCGTGTCCTATGGCCACGTTTCTTCTTTGATTAAAATTTAGGCATAATGATTTGTGGTATAAAATATATTATTTGAAGGTTTCTTTCAATTTTTATCATTTAAAAACCAACATTACTATTGTTTTCAGTCAGTATATATTATACATGTACAAAAGTACCTCTTCTACCTTAACATATAAAAGTATCTCATAGTTTTCTTGTGACAAGAGCATAGTTACTTGCCAATATACATCTCACTTACTATTACATTGATAATTGAAATAAAACATGTTCGGGACAATTGTAATTAATGGGTCTCTTCTCAAATTTAAAGAACTATTTATGATTACCTAAAACAAATTTGCATTCAGGTGTATATTGCCCCACGTATGGGGTGCTCCCCTTTAACGGGAGGGGATTTTAGGTCTACCCTCCATCCATCTCTCCATCCGTCTGTCCGTCCCTACAAACACAGAGGTACTTGTGTGACTAGGAGAACAATAGGTAATGGTACATTTTCTTTGATCCTATACATTCTGTTTTTACTTGTGTGTCTTTTTTTAAGCCATGTGTGACTAGAAATGACTAAGAAGATCAAAAGAAAAGTCACTTAAGAACCATTTTATAAGTCTGTCTGCATTAAGGTTGTCCGGCTTTCACAGGTTAAACTGCTGACAGGATTTCAATGAAACTTCACAGAAGTGATCAATACCATCCCTACTTGTGCACATTGCTGGCATGTTCTGTTTAACTGCACAATATGGCTACCAAAGCTAAAAATAGAAATTTCTTGTCTGGCTTTCACAGGTCCTATTGCTGGCTGGATTTCAATGAAACTTCACAGGACGATTTTAGTGGATGTATTTATAGTAATGATTGTGTAATAATTTTTTTTTATCATTTCAGAAAAACTGCAATAAATTGAAAATGGGAGAAGTCACAGGAGCCAGTGCCAAATTTTGTACATAATACTCTTTACCACTTTAAAAAGGAAAAAGATCAAAATGATTTGCAAACATTATAATGTTATATCATTGACAATTGTTTCTGTTTTATTTAAAGATATATTGTTATTTGCTTTGAAAATTGTTGCATAATCACAATGAATGTTTGTAGATATACCTTAGATAGATCCTTTGTAGCATTTTATATGCTGGAAAATAATTTGGTGTATAAATAGAATCTATCATTGGGCTAGATAGAGGATAGGGAAATCCCAACCCGAGGGTTTAATTCCCTTGATTTGATTAAATTGTCATAATTATGTTAATATGTATATAATAAATTTGATTCATATGTGAACAAAACAACACTTGTGACTGTATGAACATGTTGAATAATTTAGATTTGACCTTGGTCTTTGAATGACCTAAAATCGTTAGCCTTGACTGAAGTAGGATTTTGAAGTACAACACCAATTAAAAATTAAATGTACAAGTAACAGTAAGTCTTAATGTGTGAAGGCTTCTTTTTCTTGAATACACCCATTGACAGTCTCTATATGAACTGCGTAAATAACCGAGGTATTTCAAGTGAAAAAATACGAGTTGTTTCCCTTATCTTTGAATAAAATTGCTAAAACAATACAAATTTAGCCGTTTTTAAACCACTAGTTTGGGGCGTTTAAATGTCCAATTTTAAAATTTATTACACCAATGAAAAGCTTGTGATCTTAGCTTCCTCTCATATACTTTAACATAATGTTTGACACTAAAGGTATTTAAATTAACGGTTTATCCTACCACAAGTCAGAACCAACATACAATTTATACAGTGATACACAACCAGTTACCTTTACTTGCAATTCTACTAATAAGAATAGCCTGTCGTCTGCTAGTTCGGAAACTGTCAATCCGTGTATTCCTACAACTTAATGCTGGATTTACAGGAGAGAACATTCTATTTTGTAATTCTTGTTGTACAGACCTCTCACAATGACAGGTGACAGATTTCCCAGTTATCTCCTGATAATGTGTTAAATGAATGAAATTCCAGAACCATTAGGGCTAAAATGTTATCATAGTAGTAAGATGAGGTAAAAGGGATGTTAAAAACTATTGGGGAGCCCCCAAGTTGTGGCATGTTTGAATCCCAAATTATACAGAAAATGATAATAAACTAATCATTACTCATGAAGAAAACATACATTTTCACCATGAGACCAAAATATAAAACAGGCATTAGGGTTTTTTATTCATTCCAGACATGGTTATTTACTAAATGCTTCCTCCATTATATTCACCGTCTACCTCTTAAACCCATTACTGCATTCATTTTGTGAAAAATGGCTGTTTTCATTGAAAAGTCTCCTGTTACAAGTTCAGATTGCAATGAAACTGTAAAGATGCTCCAATATTCATCAAACTTGGCACAAATGTTAACTGGACCATAGCCTTTGTAATGGCATGCTCAATCTTAAATTTCCTGTTGCCATGAAAAGGAAGGGACATCTCAAAAATTGCAAAAAATCATGATTTTATGTTGATATTTCCATCCATACTGATTTCAAAGTGCCACAACTTCTCAATGGATTGAGATAGAGTCGAAGGCTTTTCAGTGTTGGTTACATGTTACCTTCTAATCGACCAAAGGCCAATTTTAGCCTCTCGAAAGTCAAAAATCTTCTTGGTGATGAGGGGGCTGCTGTCCCCCTTCAAACCCCTAAGCAGAAAGGGATCCATCTGTCACCCCCCTTTTGATAGGGAGCGGCGCCGAAAAATGTGATGACTTTTTTTTAAAACTATTTCTGCAAAATCAAAGTGTATGGGGTCTAAATAGGACATTTTTTCTTTATTTAAGGTCTCAAAGGGGGGGGGGGGGCAAAAGTGCATTATTTCATGTGTATTATGAGGTGAAAGGTTAATCAATCTTCTTAATTGGTCAATACCAACAATTATATCATTTACACATATTCCAATAACGATAGTGAGTAAATTCTGTAAGGGATTCATTTGCAGGGATTTGTTTTGGAGGGAAACTTGATGATTCATATGATATAGAACCACGGTCTGAATGCTAGTCTTGAATTGAAAATTGTACATCACCTCAATCATATCTAATTTAAGTGTTGTACAACTAAATTCCTACTGTCTGTTGGTGTTTTGCACTGCAGCCGAAACGTTTGCAATTAAATTTAATTACTAAATGTTCGTGTTTGTGTGGCTTGTCTGATTACTGTCTGTTGAGGCCTTTATAATTTTTTTTATTGAAATGATTCATACTTGGACAGAACAAGTGTGACAAGACAGACCTATTAAAATGAAAAACTTATTTTTTTTTTAAATTTCTTTTTAAATTTTTTTTTAAATGTTTGTTTGCTTTTAGATAAAGTAAAAAAGTTGAGTGCTGCGATGGTTCTTGTTTTCTAAAATACAGTACTTTGTTATACTTATTTTTTAATTAACTTTATTTTTAGACATTTTCTGTTAAGATTATTATGATTGAGAAGTTTTAAGGTGACAATGATTATTTTGAAATTAAACAATATTAGTAATTATATAATAATAGAGGAAATTTAAAAATTGTAAATTCACTGAGAAAGATAGCTGAGTGTCACTTTAATTACATCTACATAGATTTATATTGTATTTTGTCTTAATAATTTTCCCTTCAAACCTACAAAGTGCAGATCATTTGGCATGTAGCATCACTTTATTGGCCATTATAAAAGATAATTATCACTTTTGGGCAATCATGAATATGATATCTGTGTTGGTGTTATTGATGTAAAAAATAAAAATAATTTGTAAACATAGAATTTGATTATTTTTAGTTCATTTGCACATAGTGCAGCTGAGCTATTAGGATGGCCCATTGTTTGTTCAAATAGAAGACCTGGGGTCATTGATTTATGTTGTATACTGGTGCCTCATAGTTCCATGGTACCCATATTTCCAAGGTATTAGGCATAAACAGTCTCAAGTGCCTCATAGACTTCATGCACCTGCCAGGAGTTTAACTTTCACTTTCTTATTCTATTTTTATTGAAATGTAACATACAACTGAGAAAACTTATTTTATTCGGATTAAGAGCAAAGAAAATAATTTCACCATTTTACTTTTAGTTTTCATACCTTTTAGTTAAACAACCATTGAGATATTTGATAAATGCCATAGAGAAAATACCCACATTCAGACAGGGCTAGGAATAAATGAACTAAGAAATCAAGATTACTATTGGTTTTGCTTTTTAAGCTCAGTTAAAATGTAATTGCCTTGGAAAAATACGAGAACACAACTTAACTCACTAGGCAGCAGATAGATGTTAATTGCCGTGTTGTTAACATAATTGCTTACATGCAAACATTAAACGGAATAAATTATGATGTGCGGAAACCATTTCTGACATTTAAGACCCCTGTGACCTTGACCTTTGCATTAGTAACCCAAAATCATTGGGGTCATCTAATAGTTATGACCAATCAATTTTAGAAATATGAAGACTTTGTGATAAATAGCTTTCAAGATAATAAGCGGAAACCATACTAACATTGACCTTTGACCCCAAACTCAATAGGGGTCACTTACTAGTTATGACCAATCAGTATGTGAAATATGAAGTCTTTGTGATAAATAGTTTTCAAGATAATAAGCCGAAACCATTCTGACATTTAATGCCCCTGTCACAGTAACCTTTGAACTAATGACCCCAAAAGCAATATGGGTCATCTGCTGGTTATGACCAATCACTATGTAAAATATGAAGACTTTGTGATAATTTTCTTTGAAGATAATGAGCTGAAATCATACTACCATTCAAGGACCCTGTAACCTTGACCTTTGACCTGGTGACCCCAAAATCAATAGGGTCATCTACTAGTTATGACCAATCAATATGTGAAATATAAAGACTTTGTGATGGATAGTAAAAAAGATAATAAGCAAAAATTATACTACCATTCAATGCCCCTGTGACCTTGACCTTTGACCTAGTGACCACAAAATCATTAGGGCTCATCTACTAGTTATGACCAATCAATATGTGAAATATGAAGATTTTGAAATGAATTGTAACCAAGATAATGAGCGGAAACCATTATGACATTTAAGACCCTGTGACTGTGATATTTGACCCCAAAATCAATAGGGGCTATCTACTAGTTATGACCAATCACTATGTGAAGACTTTGTGATAAATACTTTTCATGATAATCAGCGGAAACCATTATGACATTTAAGGCCCTTGACCTTTGACCCCAAAATCTATAGTGGTCATTTACTAGTTATGATTAATCACTATGTGAATATGAAAACTTTGTGATAAATAGTTTTCAAGATTATCAGCGGAAACAATGTGGTCTACCAACGGACAGACCGACCGACATTAGCAAAACCATATACTCACTCTTCTTCAAAGGGGGGCATAAAAATATTCTTTAAAATCTCATCAATCACCTCTGTACAGTATAATGTTACCCATTTGGAACATTGTCTGCATTTAATTGTTTAACATGTTTAAAAATTCACAATAGAAAAGGCATGGGATGTTTAAAAAAAATCACTGTAATAAATACATCTTTTTATTTGATCTTTTGAAAAAAACAACAATGTTAACATGTACAGTTATTTTTAACAAGTTAGAAATTTTCATAATCATGAAAATTAAATCTCTTAAGAAAATCTAATTTCTCTCATTAAAATATGACAAATGAGAGAAAATCTCTCACTAAAAATTCTGACCAGAATGATCCCTGCTAAACAATTATAGGATTTTGATCAGTCTTGGTCCTCATTACTCAACTCCTTAGATAATTTCTGCTAAATTTAAAGAAAAATGGACAAACTGATTTCAAGATATGGAAACACTGACCTAAGGACAAACAGCACCATTTCAATGCCTTTTTTTAATTACAGGTAGATAGTTTACACTGCATTTGCAGAATGCCTCAGCATTATATAACGCTAATAACAGAAGGAACAAAAGTAGTTTGTCACTTGCTTGCACATATGTATCCATCCCCTAATAATGTATCACCCAAGGAAAATATTTCATCATGTAAAACAACACAAAGTTGTGTAACGTTAGAATATGTAGGTCATTGTATAAACAAACAATAAATATGAAGACTTGGAAATTTATCCATTGCCTTAAAAGGTAAATATTGAATATGGGTCAGGGTCATAATTATACATCATGTCAAATGGATAACATGTGTTCATATTTACATCATTTCTAATTATGAAGGTCATTGGTAAATCAATGATAAAGTTATAAAGGTTGAAGTTGACCAGATCAATGACAAATATCAGCATGCCAATAATAAACAATGTTCAGATGTTTATGTTTATTGGAACATAATGAAGGTTATAGCTTAAATATCAATGAAGTTAAAGTTTGGTGAAAGAGCTTTGTAAAATATCAAAGCTCTAGGCCTTATAGTTCTGAATAAGATTTATTAGGCTTTCCCTATATTTGTCATAGATGTGCCCCATAGGGCAAGGTCAGTTTGACCCCAGAGGCCAGGATTTGGATAAGCTTGTTTGATGTCCACTGTTTTGCCTTTAATATGCAAAATATCAAAACGCTAGATCTTGCACTTCTGAAGAAGATTACTGAAGAAGTTACACTATTTATCACTTTATAAAACTATTTGGCCCTGAGGCCAAGTAAATTTGATTCCAGGGGCCATGAATCAAATAGTCATGGCAATATACGCTCGAATGCAAATTTGTTATAAGAAAATTAAAATTTTAAGTCACAATCAAAAATAATTTTTAAACAGAGAGGATACCTATTTATAATATTTGTCCAAAACATATTTTAGTTCAATTATCAATATTAAGATCTATATTGATACATGGCAAAGAGCTATGCTCTTGTCACATGAATACTTAGTGGCAATTATATATGCCACAGCTTTCCACTGTGGAGTGCCCTTAAAAAGTTAATTTTGAAACACAGAGTGGTGATTATTTATCTCCATGCAATTGTCACGGAGCCTATATACAGACTGAAAACAACAATAATGTTGGTTTTTAAATGATAGAAATTCTAAAACACATAAATAATATTATATCAGAAATTCAAAAGCACAAAATATTATGCCTAAAAATGATAATAAATCAAAATGGTATGCTTACAAATTATTTTCATTTTTATTACCTCCCTTTACATTTATAACATCAATATTCACAATAACATCCATCACAAAATTGATAATTCTACTTTTACAAAGTGATGATACATGCTAAAGATTTATGCTTTGCATGTTTTAAAACATGTATACTATATATATCTGTGTAAACACGTAAATACATGTAAACAGCCATATTTTATTATCATCAGTGAAATGATTTTTGGAACAATTGCAGGGTTCTTATATTTAATGATACATGCCAAATAATTGAGATCTGGGATTTGTAACTGTATATAAAAATACATATATAACTAGAAATGTGTCCATAGGACACGGATGCCCCCACACGCCACTGTTCTGTCAATCTTATGACTCTAGGTCAAATATTTTTTGGACTACATGTGCCACAAGTTGAAAACTAAAAATCAACAAAGGGCCATAATTCTGTAAAATTTGGTCGCAGCAAAAATTCCTTCCTTTACTACCATCTACACATTAAGGTTGTTAATCCCTGGAAGTTTAAGTAAAATCTGCCATCCGGTTTAAGAGAAGTTGCGTTCACAAAATTTCTACATAGTATATAATGAAACTAGAAATGTGTCCATAGGACACGGATGCCCCCACACGCCACTGTTCTGTCAATCTTATGACTCTAGGTCAAATATTTTTTGGACTACATGTGCCACAAGTTGAAAACTAAAAAATCGACAAAGGCCATAATTCTGTTAAATTGGTGGCGCAGCAAAAATTCCTTCCTTTACTACCATCTACACATTAAGGTTGTTAATCCCTGGAAGATTAAGCAAAATCTGCCATCCGGTTTAAGAGGAGTTGCGTTCACAAAATTTCTACATAGTATATAATGAAAAAATCAACAAAGGGCCATAATTCTGTTAAATTTGGTTGCAGCAAAAATTCCTTTCTTTACTACCATCTACACATTAAGGTTGTTCATCCCTGGAAGTTTAAGCAAAATCTGCCATCCGGTTTAAGAGGAGTTGCATTCACAAAATTTCTACATAGTATATAATGAAAAAATCAACAAAGGGCCATAATTCTGTAAAATTTGATCGCAGCGAAAATTCCTTCCTTTACTACCATCTACACCTGAAGGTTGTTCATCCCTGTAAGTTTAAGCAAAATCTGCCATCCGGTTTAAGAGGAGTTGCGTTCACAAAATTTCTACATAGTATATAGTGAAAAAATCAACAAAGGGCCATAATTCTGTTAAATTTGGTCGCAGCAAAAATTCCTTCCTTTACTACCATCTACACATTAAGGTTACGGACGGACAAGTGCAACGCTATATGCTCCCACATTGTGGGGGCATAAAAATAAGTATTTCTATCTATGTGCTCCCTGGGGCAGGGCCAGTATTGACCCAAGAAGAGCATGATTCATATTTTTGTATATGTCAACAATGGATGCTTCATACAAAATATCTAAGAGCTTAACATTAATAAAATATTTTTGGGCATATGAAAATGTGTTCTTATTACTTTCTTTGATTTAAAGCTTTTAAAATTCAAATTTAAAATGCTGTGGTAGACATGGGCTAAACTTCTTATACTGGTATTTCTTCCTATGAACACATATTTTGTTTTAATGTATAATAGGACAGGTACAGCCACTTCACATCAACCCTTCAACCCATATCAGTCTTCCAATTAGGGAGAGACTGCCCACAATATAGCAAAACATTATTCATATGCAAAGTTTTTAAAAAATAGACATTTTATATGCATCCTTTACAACTTATTGTTATTTAGTGAATTAACATAAATTATCTTATAAAGTAACATCAGTTTCAATTAATAAGATTAACTTATTTCAAAATAATTAAATCATATAAACTAATCTTAACAGAAAAAAATCTAAAAATTTGGAAAATAAAGGGAGGTAAATGCATATTAAGAGGAAACATATAAATTCATACATTGTAATCTCCCTTTGTAATATACACTTATAATGAATCAGTGATCTGAGGTTCGATCCTCACTCGGGTCGAAATCTTTCATGTGAGGAAGCCATCCAGCTGGCTTACAGAAGGTCGGTGGTTCTACCCAGGTACCGTGTCTGAAATAATGCCCGGAGGGGCACCTGGGGTCTTCCTCCACCAATAAAGCTGGAAAAAAATCGACAAAAAATTCTTGGCGGGAAGTTCTAGGATGGCCCAACTTTAGTGTACGGTCGCCCATATGGGCTACGCGGCGACCTTAAATAAAGTTTCCAGGGTGTTCACTAACCATGAAATCCTGAGGGTCATTTTGACCAGTATTGACTCAGTTCTACCAATTATTATAAACACATTTAAAAAAAAAAAAAAAAAAAGGGATCTGAGGTAGTCCAAAACTCTGCTCTTCACATAATCTCAGTAATATTACAGTAATATTAATATTTCTGCCAAATAGATTTAATTTCATACTATCAGTTTAGACACAAAATTTCACAAAATCGTCTCTTTATGGTTAACATTTCTGCCAAGTAGTTTAAATTTCTTTCCACAGGTTAAAAAGATACAGACTGGATACAAAAACTTCTATATAAGTCTATAAAAATCAATTAATCCCCATAACAGATTAAAAGACGGACAGACAACCATGTACATAACAATATACTCCAAAATTCTTTCAGAAGTATAACAAACTTCAAGGTTGACTAGATTGTGTCTCATACAATATATCAAATTGATAGGCGCAACAAGATTTCCCGAGACTTCCCTACCATTTCTATTGGTTGCCATGACAACTAGATTTCTAAATGGAATCAAATCCTTTGAACATTTTGAAAGACTTTCACCAAAGGAAGAATCTATCCAAATTTGTTTAAATTTTTGAAAAAAAAAAGTTCACCAATGATCTATAACTTACAAGCAGAAAAAACACAAACACATGCACACAATCTACCAGTGTTCAGTGTTTTCTTTCAGAAAATTTGGTTAAAAAATAGTGTTTGATTTTCAACATAAAATAAGAGCTGTCATTTGACATTGTGTCAAAATAAAATTCAAGCAGATTACTATATGCCGGGGGTGGGGGGGGACATTTTACAGAAAATTAAGAAATACTTTCATTACTGGTAATTATAATGGTTCAACACAGAAAACAAATGTACAAAACATCATCCATAAATAAATCCATATAACTTAATTTTCTCCCGAGCTCTTTGTTCTCTCTGCTATGTCCGTAAAGAAAACATCATAAAATAGAGTGATTTCTGTGAACACTGTAATAACTGTATATACACACATATATAAATCACCTTTGACAACATGTCGTACCATGTGTCATAAATGATTTGCTTTCAATGAAAATATATTATTATTTGGATTGTTTGTTGTAGTCAAAAGCATTCCATTAGAAGAATCACCTGCCTCTGACATGTCTGTGGATTCTGTTACGTCAGATGTCTCAGAATCTGTAAACAAACAATTATCATAGATATACATATAACAAAATTAATCTCTTATGACAGCTTGCATGAAGAATTCAGTTTGCTATGTAGAAATTCAAGAATACAAGGAGGCTGAAGTGCTCCCTTGACGACAGAATGGTATCAGTGTAAAATGCTACAAAATGTTACCTATAACATTTACTGTAAACTTTAAAGTTATCAGAACCTACTGTTTTGTGAATAAAATTAAAAGTCAATTTTCATACATCATATACAGAACAGCAAAATAAGACTGCCACGGCATGTTTAGCACAAATAATAGGGTGTGTATCTTGTGTCATTTGACCTGCAAGATTTTACGATACATGGCACTTCTGTGTGAAGGAATAATATCTAACCAATTGCAATTAAGTATAAATCGAATCCATAAATAAATAACAACAAAGTTATAACAATGTAAGCAGTCAAGGTATGGTGAATTGTTGTGAAATTCACTTGTTGTTCAATTAAATCTTCTTTTATGTCTTGTCTTAAAGGCTGTTGTGCCGAAGTATGAAGACAATCCGTTTAACACTTATAAAATTATAGCCAAATATACCACAAAAAACTTCAAGGCAGAGCCCATTTACTAGTCAATGTCAAATTGGGTTTGATAGATTTTAAGGCATTGTTCTTAAGGTATATGAGCGCAAGTATCAAGACATTCCAGTCATAAATAACAAACTTATAATCAATTAAAGCAAAAATCAAGCAAATTCAATAATTTTAACCTCAAAGGTCATTGATAAGTGATAGTCATAATCAATTGGGTCTTAATAAGGTTTTGTCCTTATTGTTGTGTCCAAGTTTGAAGACAATTCATTCATAAAAAATATAGCCAATTCTAGAAAAATCAAACAAGAGGGCCATGATAGCCCCGAAATCGCTTGCCTGAATATAGAAACTCTCCAGGACAAGGAACAAGTAAAATTGTATACTATAACAAATGCAGATATAAAATCTAAATCTTAAACTGATATCACAAAGTTCATATTTATATCTGAAAAAGTGCATGTGTAAAAACATTACTGGTTGCTATTGCTAAGGGAAAACAACTTCCAAATGATGTGTATATATTAGGAATGGGGCAGGGCCAATTTTAACCCCAGGGCTTTTATTTGAACAAACTTGGTAGACACTTACTAGAAGATGTTTCATGCTAAATATCTAAGCTCTAGCTCTCTCGGTTTTTTAAAAAAAAAAAAAAAAAAAGATTTTAGTTTTTACAATATACATATAAGGAAAATCAATAACTTTAGTGACAGGTGTAGATTACACAGCCGAGTGTTTAAACAGCCTTTGTATGTGTTTAAATGTGTGAATAAATGCTTTAATCACTACTTAACTTTTTTAATTGCCGTAGCGGTATTTGAAAGTACATGTAAACAGTAAGAACTATCATTTGAGTACTTCCGTGACCCGGTGTCGCGTGATAATCACACGCGAAATATTTACTATAAGCTGGTTTAGTTATTGCCCTTTCATATTGTTACGCCTTTTGTTACTTCATTGTATACGTCAACAGGGAGTCCAAATCATTAGCCGTGAAAAGTTAACATGTCATATTTATCTTGTATAATGTAAAATATCAGATTAATGAATGAAAAAAAACATGAAATAGGTTATGTTATAGATCTTATAATTAGGGCTAGTCACGGGTTGAATTTTTGTTATGAAATTCTGACCGATTCACGAGTCGAAGTCCCGATGTATCGAAGTTTTTACGCAAGTCCCTCCAACTTCGACTTACTGAAGTTCTACTGTATGTTCCTTGTAAATATGAGACCTTGGTAAAAACAAGAATTTTTTTCAAGTTTATACCACATTTACATAATGAAAATTAATGACCCCTGGAGAGGAGCCTATTTTGACTCCAGTGCTATAATTTGAGCAATCTTGGACGAGGTCCACTACACAATTGTACTTGCCAAATATCTAAACTGTAGCCTTGTTTTTACTATATACAATCCTGGCAAGTTTGGTTGAAATCGGACTTACAGTTTTTTAAGGAGAGGATTTTTTCAATAATCTTTAGAACACACATACAGGTGAATTGCTATATGCCATGGCATAGCAGATGCTGTGATGGCATAAAAATGATTTCAATTGTAAATATGTACCAGTAGTTTGCATGTCTTGTGAATCTCTAAGAGGCATAAAACCAAACATATATGGCTGTGGTTTGTTGCCAGTTGGTAAACTATGAATACTGCTTGCTATAGGTATTGCCTGCTCTGGACTACTTCCTTCACAACTGCTTGAGGATACACTGGAAGTAATGTCAAGTAAAGAAGTAATTAACAAATTAATACACAATATTGGGCTTACATGCTACATTGTCATTTTTGGTACTTAAGTTGATTGGTATACAGTGAATAGGCCAATTTTCCATGAGTATTTCAAATAATGATCAAAGTGCTTTGCAATAGACATGAACAGGGAATTGCATAAATGTTGTCAAAAAAGGACCAAACATCAGTCATGTTGCACCAAGAAATTTCTAAATTCACAAAGGGCAGTAAAATTCTATGCCAGAGTTTTATGGGGCTTGGGTAGAGCCCTCTAATTATGATCCCATTAAGTGAATTAGGTTTTATGTAAATATTTTCTGCTTTCTTAAAAAAAATATTGATGTTGCTTGCAAAACTTTCACCAAGAATTCAACTTCACAAAAGGCCATTTACTCAGTCTAAATCTATGTTAGATATTTTAAGTTTTTTCTTTCAGTTGCCATGGCAACCAGAGTTCTGCATGGAATTAAATTCTTTGTTAGAACAATTTTGATAGGTGACCACCAAAGGAACATTCCTGTGAAGTTTGGATGATATTGGCTGCATGGTTTATGAGGAGAAGTGGTTTAAAATAAAAGTTATTGAACCATGACCAAATTCAAACTTCACCTGCTTATTCCTAAGATGTATCTTTTTGTTAAATTTGAGTTGAATGTGTACAACTGTTGAGGAAATAATGAAGGGAAACTGAAATTTTTTTCAAGGGGCATGTCAAATTTGAGTTGAATGTGTGCAACCATTGCCAAGATAATGAAACTGATGATGATGGAATGATGGGATGATGGAACTGAGGGCAACACTTTATGCCCCAGCCATTTTATGCAACATCCCTCAAACCCATTAGCACCAGCTTGAGATACTCAATTGTCAACACTTAAAAGTGCTGGACTCAATAATCCCAAAGGACCTGAAAAAATATAACAATACTGAAGTGAAGTTCATTACAACTTTTTACTGCTGCCTACAGCACTTGTTGCAAACAAGAGGGCCATGATGGCCCTGAGGTCGCTCACCTGTATATAGGCCCCCCACCCCCGGGCCAATTTTTACCCAAGGGCTTTTATTTGTTTATTTGAACAGACTTGGTAGACACCCATAAGAAGATGTTTCATGCTAAACATCTAAGTTCTAGCTCATTGGCTTTTTTAAAAGAAGATTTTTAAAGTTTTTACTATACACATATAGTTAAAAACAATGTCACCCCTGGGGCAGGGCCAGTTTTGACCCCCCAGTGTTATTTTAACAAACTTTGTAGATATTTACTTAAAGATGTTTCATGCTTAATATCTAAACTCTAGCTATTTGGGTTTTTCCAAAGAAGATTTTTAAGTTTTTGCTATACACATATAAGGAAAATCAATGACCCCCCCCCCCCCCGGGCGGGGCCAGTTTTGACCCCAGGGCTTTTATTTGAACAAACTTGGTAGACACCCATTAGAACATGTTTCATGCTAAATATCTTAGCTCTAGCTCTTTGAGTTCTTTAAAAGAAGATTTTTTAAGTTTTTACTATATGCATATAGGGAAAATCAATGACCCCCTGGGGCGGAACCAATTTTGACCCCAGGGCTTTAATTTGAACAAACTTGGTAGACATTCACTAGAAGATGTTTCATGCCAAATATCTAAGCTCTAGCTCTTATGGTTCTTTAAAAGAAGATTTTTTAAGTTTTTACCATATGCATATAGGGAAAATCAATGACCCCCGGGGCGGGGCCAATTTTGACCCCAGGGCTTTAATTTGAACAAACTTGGTAGACACTCACTAGAAGATGTTTCATGCTTAATATCTTAGCTCTAGCTCTTAGGGTTCTTTAAAAGAAATTTTTTTAAGTTTTTACTATATGCATATAGGGAAAATCTATGACCCCCTGGGGCGGGGTCAATTTTGACCCCAGGGCTTTTATTTGAACAAACTTGGTAGACATTCACTAGAAGATGTTTCATGCCAAATATCTAAGCTCTAGCTCTTATGGTTCTTTAAAAGAAGATTTTTTAAGTTTTTACTATATGCATATAGGGAAAATCAATGACCCCCGGGGCGGGCCAATTTTGACCCCAGGGCTTTTATTTGAACAAACTTGGTAGACACTCACTAGAAGATGTTTCATGCTTAATATCTTAGCTCTAGCTCTTTGGGTTCTTTAAAAGAAGATTTTTTAAGTTTTTACTATATGCATATAGGGAAAATCAATGACCCCCTGGGTCGGGGCCAATTTTGACCCTAGGGCTTTTATTTGAACAAACTTGGTAGACATTCACTAGAAGATGTTTCATGCCAAATATCTAAGCTCTAGCTCTTACGGTTCTTTAAAAGAAGATTTTTTAAGTTTTTACTATATGCATATAGGGAAAATCAATGACCCCCAGGGGCGGGGCCAATTTTGACCCAAGGGCTTTTATTTGAACAAACTTGGTAGACACTCACTAGAAGATGTTTCATGCCAAATATCTAAGCTCTAGCTCTTATGGTTTTTTAAATGAAGATATTTAAAGTTTTTTCTTTTGGTTGCCATGGCAACCAGAGTTCTGCATGGAATTTAATTCTTTGAACAATTTTTAAAGGTGACCACCAAAGGAACATTCCTGTGAAGTTTGGATGAAATTGGCCTGGTGGTTTATGAGGAGATGTCATTTAAAGCAAAAGTTTACGGACGGACGGACGGACGACGGACGAAAAGCGATCACAAAAGCTCACCCTGTCACTTTGTGACAGGTGAGCTAAAAAAGCAGTTTGGCTAAACATATATATAATCTGTACTTTGTATCAAAGCATACTCAAATAACTATGATATCTGAATACCTATGTGCCAATGGATGTGGTATAAGTCTGTCTGGGGTACTTGGTCCTGTATGAAACTTTTTTGGCGGACTCATGTAACTCTCGTATCTATTATCTCCATCAGGCTCCACTAAAAAAAAACATTTTTTATAGATAATCATAGAAAATGTTCCTGACATTTAAACATTTTCTAAGCATAATGTAAACCAGTTTTATAACTTCATTCCATCAAGACAATACATCATACTTAAAAAACATGATTAAAACTGAATAGAATAAAATATAATAGGTAGAATAATAATATGATTCATTTAAACTTTGTATGATTTTAGAACATGATAACTGAAACATTTTAAGAGAAAACAAGAGCCGGTTATATTCCTGACAAAGTTCACAGTGTAAAACTGAAAAAGGGCAATTACTCCAAAATAGGCAAGGCAGAGTTACGGTTCTTTTCCACTGCATATCTACACAATGAAATCTATCTACCTACAAAGTTTTATGTTAATATCTCTTATACTTTCAGAGCTATGTCCCGGACAAAGTTCAAAGTGAATAAGTTAACAAAGGGCAAATACTCAAAAATAAGGGAAAGGAGAGTTATGGTTCTTTTGCACTGCACTTCTACCAAATGAGATCTATCTACCTACAAAATTTCATGTTGATATATCTTTGGTACTGCCCTCCGCCTCAATGTCCTGTATCACTGTGTGCAACTTAAACAAATTATGTCCAAGAGTTTTCAAGTGACAAGGCGGTAACTATATTCCCTCCTTTCGGGGAGCACAAAAATCGGGGTCAGCAGCTTGTTTTTTAGTGATCTGGGGAGCATTTCAATAACAGTCTGTAAGTTTTGCTTATCTTTTGGACTTAAATTTGGACATAGGTAAAATGTAAATTTATGGTATGTGCGTTTCACTAAACAGAACATGCAATTTACGACAGCAATAAGTGAGGATAACTTTACGTTTAAACTTACGCAAAATAGGTAGCTAAGAAAGTTTAGTGAAACTCAGATAAATATGAACTTCTGCTTACGCAAAAAGTTACGTTCAAACTCGAGTTACGATAAGGTAAGTACGTTAGTGAAACACACCCATAGCCTGTATGTCTATAATTATGAAACTACAGCATAAGCTTTTTAAGAGAATAGAGTACTTACATTTTCTTTTACCAAGTGGACTTGGTCTGATAATGATTGGACTGATACTTCTGAAATGTATAAAACAAAACAAGGGTGTCACAAAATACAACCGTCACAAAAGCTTTAGGAGGAGAAGTAGGTGATAAGAAGTACAACAAGTAAGTTGGTCCCTTTTCATATTTTTGTCTAAAATTTTACCTTTATGTGTGATCTTGACCTTGGTTGTAGGGACCTGTATTTTATGCATGACACCAAGTCTCACAATCATGAAAGTTTGTGCCAGGTTATATTAATATCCCTCAATGCATGTAGAAGTTTTGCTCTGCATTTTTCAGAGACATCTTAGTGTGACCTTGACCTTATACCTAGAGACCAGATTCAAGCGCAGGGCACTATGTCTCATATCTCTTATTTAAACTTATCCATTAGATGGTTTTGAATCTTAGAGACAGACTGACCATCAGACAATTTAAAATGATTCCAGTGTTACTGTAGCCCCCTCCCACAACATAATGTGGTGGGGTATAACTATGTTACAAATAGGTTAATCTGCTTTATCAGGCACAGGTAGAACTGGCCTTGGACATGTCACCAGGCATATTCTTAAATGGTGTAACAAGAGCACCACAGAGTCAGCAATATATGCCTGAATTTAAATTGTCTAAGTTATCAAAAACAAGCAATTATCATAGTATTGCAGGCAATCCATAAGTCCCCTACCGGTAAGAGCCCAAGCAACATTCTAAAGGGCCATTGGCCATTCACTTATGTTCCTATTTAAATAAATTTGTTGAAAAAGTTCTCTAAAAGTGATCACATGATACAGTTTTTATGTACAGACAGACAGACGGACTGAAGGACACTCTAAAGTTATTTTTTTGATGTTGTGCCATCCATATTATAAGCACATAGTCTCATGATAATAATTATTTGAGCCAAGATATTTAAAATCTTCCATGAGTCAAAAAAGTTATGGAGAACATTAAACTTTGACCTGGGGGTAGCAACCTGGATCTAACTTGGGGGGTAGCAACCTGGATGTTGTGCAATGCAGATTGTGTCATGGTGGGGATCATTTGTGCCAAGTAATTTTGAACTGTCAATAAGTTATAGAGCAGACATGAAAAATAAATGTTTTAGCATTGGAACTTTGAGCTCTAATTCTTACATTGGATTTTATTTTAATTATCCTGAAGCTTTTTTCTTAAAAAAGTAGGCATTTCAAGACAAAATGTAGAGAAAAGTTTAGGTCAAACAAAAAAGTAGGTAAAAGGAGGGGCCACTTGAAAGCATGTTTCTACTATCCTGCTGTTAATGTTTAATAATACATTTTGTTTAAGAAAATAAATATCAGGAATAAAATCCCATACTAGATCAATTTCATTTCATACTCTTTATGAGGAGATAATAACTGTAAAATTACACACTGAAGTTTACACTTAAGTCTGATTAAAACAACAGCTGTCGGTAGGACAGCAACGCTCGGCTATTCTTAGTGCTTGATAGTAAAAAAAGCCTTGATTAAAAGGTAAAATTTTCTAAGTAAAGAAAAAGGCAAAATTTTTCTTTAAATCCATATAACAGTTATAGGCCTTGGAGAGAGTCCTATTATGCTCTCAAAGAAGAGTATAAAATTTCAACATGTTTCAAAGCCTTATGTCAATGAATTTTGAAAATATTTGAGGTATTACAAAAACTTTAACGTAAATTCTAAGTCGAAAAAGGGGCATAATTCTGTCAAAATGCTTGATAGAGTTACCGACTTCTGTCTACATGTTGGGGTCATGATGGTGAACAAGTGTTCAAAGTTTCAAAGCCATATGTCAATGAACTTTGAAAATATTTGAGGTATTACAAAAACTTTAACGTAAATTCTAAGTCCAAAAAGGGGCATAATTCTGTCAAAATGCTTGATAGAGTTACCTCCTCCTGTCTACATGTTGGGGTCATGATGGTGAACAAGTGTGCAAAGTTTCAAAGCCATATGTCAATGGACTTTGAAAATATTTGAGGTATTACAAAAACTTTAACGTAAATTCTAAGTCCAAAAAGGGGCATAATTCTGTCAAAATGCTTGATAGAGTTACCTCCTCCTGTCTACAGGTTGGGGTCATGATGGTGAACAAGTGTGCAAAGTTTCAAAGCCATATGTCAATGGACTTTGAAAATATTTGAACTATTACAAAAACTTTAACATAAGTGGTTATGCTGACGCCGACACCGACGCCGACGCTCGGGTGACTACAATAGCTCTACTTATTCTTATCGAATAGTCGAGCTAAAAACAACACTTACCTTGGAAATGATTTTCTTGTTGGACTAGGGCTGGGACTAGGTGTAAATGTGTGATTCTTTATTGGAGCTTGCATTGATGGTGAAAAACATTGCTGCAAATAATATATGCAATCTTAAAATAGGTAGGATAAAACAAATGTACATAGTTAACTCTATTGTTGTCAAATCTGAAAAATGTACAAAAATTCATGATTCCAACCATATTTCACAATCTCATTGTAAAGAGATTTACTTTGCAATTTTAACAAGTACGCAAATAAGAATATCAAAAACAAGATGGCCATGATGTCCATAGATAGCTCACCTGAGATTCATATCTAGGAAACCCATACATGCCATATCCCCTAGTTTTCAGCCTTGTCTCCCAATCTCCCGCTATCGGATCAAATTTCCACGATCCAACAGACAAAAAATTTAAAACATCATATATTTGGTATTATTTACACATCATCTGAAAGGGGCGTCGGTGACCGAGTGGTTAAGGTCGTTGACTTCAAACCACTTGCCCCTCACCGCTGTGGGTTCGAATCCCAACAGGGACTTGGATTCTTTCATGTGAGGAAGCTATCCAGCTAGCTTACGGAACGTCTGTGGTTCTACTCAGGTGCCCGTTCGTACCTGAAATAATGCACGGAGGGGCACCTGAGGTCTTCCTCCACCAGTAAAAGCTGGAATGTCGCGATATGACCTATACTGTGTCGATGTGACGTAAAACCCTATCAAACAAACATCATCTGAAGTAGTGTCTCCCTTAAAACAGCAGCATTCAAATGGATAATTGCATTGTTGACTTCTATATACTTCAATGATTTTCAATAGCTCTCAAGGAATAAACAAACACATTTTATCTAACAATGCATGACACAATTTTTTCTCGATAAATCTCTCAATCAGTGTCAGTAACTAATGACAACGTCCAATATTGAATGAGTGACATATTAATGTTTGTAACCTTGTCACCACATTGTTTGGTGTCAGTTTGTCTTTGAAGTTAATTGAAGTAGGGAATGATTCAGATAAAAATAATGACCAAGAAAGTTTACAACCTTTGAATACAGTGTTTGAAACTAGCGTTGCCTTTTAGTTTCCAAACTCTTAGAAGGAATGTTAATTAAAAACAAAAACTAAGTTTTATTAGAACTGTAAATTAATAAAGAACACAAGAAGTAATTGAAATATAATCAGTAAGCAACCTCATTATTCAAAATAAATATTTAACTCTTTAAAACTTAATTATCAATATTTTGGTACAGATTAAGGTGACAACAGACACTTTCCGTGGTACTCACATAAATGTTATTTAAACTAAGTTATTTTTGTAATAATTGTTATTCATTTAATCTTTGTGCATTAAATGTCGTTGATCATCATAAAAAATAACATATTTGAAAAAAATGCCTTTGTAAATCATTGATTTTGATTAAAAATCCTAAAATTTTAAATCGTCATATCAAAGTCATTTTTTATTTTTTTGTCATCAAACTTTTGGAAAATAACCATACTTATATTATCTGGGGAACCGTGTCTCAAATTTTTTATATCTTTTCTCAAAAAAATATTACGTAACGTCAAACATTTTATGCGACTTTTTTCACCATACATATTACGTAATTAAAGATAATTAAGTCGCTGATTGAGCAAACAAAAATCCCTGACACGGTTCCCTCCGTAAATGAATTTCCTTTCATGTGCTTTAAACCGCATGTTAATTGCTTGATTATTAAAAAAAGTTATGCCGATTCAAAGTTAGTCCGACCCGCATCAAACGAAGTGTCATAAATTGGCTGTTGTCATTTTAGGTATTTTCAGTGATAATTGACTCCGTTGTCACCTTAAACTCCAGTGCAAACATTTACTTATATTTGACCTTTTTCACTTTTATGGTATCAAAAGTTTTTATTATTTAATATATAATTGTATAGTCACACTTGTTGTTTTGTCCAAGTATGAATCCTTTCTTTAAACAAGAGGTCCAAAAGACCCTAGATCGCTCACCTGACCCATCGAACTCATCTGAGCAATTGCCTAGACAAGCATCCTGACCAAGTTTCACTTCACTTGAGTCAAAAATGTGACCACTAGAGTGTTAACAAGGTTTTTCCATATTTGGGCAGTGTGACATAGTTTTTGACCCCAGGCAACCCATATTCGAACTTGACCTAGAAATCATCAAAACAAACTTGCAGACCAATTTCCATGATATTTTGATCAAAACAGTAGACACTAGAGTGTTAACAAGATTTTTTCTATTTTAGCTCCTGTGACCTAGTTTTTCATCCAAAATAACCCATGTTTGAACTCATCAAAGCAATTACCTAGACAAGCATCCTGACAAAGTTTCATGATGATTGAGGCAAAAATGTGACCAAGAGTGTTAATGAACAAATGTGCCTGACGGCAAAGGCATCTGTAATGCTGACATGACTGTAACAATACCCTTTTTTTTTTCCAAAAGAAAAGTCGAGCTAAACATTGCATAACATGTACACATGTATAAAAGACATTCCCATATACATGTGTTGTTTCCTTTCATTATTCAACAATGATTTGAAGAAAACCAATAATCTCCTGGGACAGGGCCAATTTTGACCCAAAAGCTATAATTTGTACAAGGGGGGACAGGGTCATTGGCCCAAAGTGCTGACCTGTGGAAAGCCTGTTATTTGTGTGAAATCAGTGAAAGCTAGTGTTTATTACAATAAATAGAACAATGATGGTCACTAGACCATACTTCATGCAAAATATATATTTTTAATTATACTACATTGTTCTAATTTCATAGCTGTACATAAAAAACAAGAAAGTAGGTCACTAGGTCAATATCTAAGTCATTTGATATCAAATTTCAGTTCTACAACTGTAATTGTGCACATGGTCAAAATGTCATAGTTGTAAATAACAAAGAGGTCCATATTGGCCCTTATATCGCTCACCTGATTATGAAGGCTCAATCCACTTTTATATAGGCTGTGTAACCTAGTTTTGACCACAGCTGGCCCATATTCAAACTTGACATTTCTGACCAATGTCCAGGATATTTGGATCAAAACAGTAGTCTCTAGAGATTAAACCCATATTAAGGCTTTGTAACAGTTTTTGAACACAGATTACCTATTTTCGAACTTTACCTAGAAATCATCTAAAAAATTATTCTGACTTTTTTTTCCAAAACAGTAGCCTCTAGAGTGTTAACAAGGTCTTTCCTTATTTGGACTGTGTCCTTGTTTTTGACCACAGATGAATCATATTCGAACTTGGCCTAGAAATAATCTCAGTAACAGACGGATAGACAGACAGAGCTCATTTCTATATTCCCCTTTTTCCTTTGAAAAGGTGGGGGACAATTAATTGATCCAAGGGGCGGGACCAATTTTGACATCAAGGGAATAATTCTAACTTAGTAAAGGATATAATTATATAGCATAAAATACTAACCTTCCCAACTCTTGTTGGAGACATAGCACCTACTAACATTGAAGGTGAAGTAAAAACATAAAGTGACTCTGAAAATGACCTTGGACGTGTTGTAGGTCGTTGTGAGTTCTCAGCTATCATAGGTTCATGATCACCCTGTAACATATAGAGATAAAACAAATGAGTATCTTGCAACAGCTTTGATAACTTTCTTATAACACTTGCATGGTTAACATTTTACAATCTGTTTATCTGTTAATTTCTTAATTATCTTTTTTTCAGTTTTCATTTCCTATTTTAAATACATTCTATCTAATACATTTACAAAATTGCTTTAGTGTATTTCATACTTGTCCTGTCAATAACACAACATTTTTTTCAATGGCTTACAACTCTCATATACAAGCATATCACCTCAGTGATCCATGGAGAACCGTCGGTTTTTACAGGTCAACAAAAATAACCCGTGACCACATTGTATATAAATTGGACATTTCCATGTGCATGTCATAGTTTTAGTGGGTGTTCAGAAAAGATTTTGGTAAGTGACCACAAGGTCTTGTGAAGGTTTTCTTGTTTTGCTTATCGGGCTGGAATGTTCTTGTTTGTGTTTTAAAACTATTTGTTTTTTGTTTTAGCTACAAGTTGTTTGTCTCTAGCTTTTTACTTCCATGCCCACTTATTTTTGACTTGGCGTTGATGATGATAACGCATATTAGAGAAGTGGAAGGCAAGATGATGTCACTTTTTTGAGGTTCTTCTTCTGACGAGTTTTTTTTGGTTTTCCCCCTGATAATTCACTGAATCTAAAAGAGTAAAATCTGTTGTGACAAAAGTTACTAGTAAAGACAGTAAAGTCTGACGTAAATCGACATGTCACGTGATCAATCACATGTTGACAGTCCCGCAGAAAGTAACAATGGCAATGATGTTGTCATATTGCAGCCATTGCAGCCAAACTGGCAGCCAAATGTTGTTGACTTAAATGCCGAAAATGTTAAACAGTTGAGATCTGTCTCAGGGATGAAGAATTCTAATACAAAAGGTAGGTCGGATACTTCTTTATCTGAATTTGTTCAAAATTGTGATGATGAAACTGAAAGTACATTTTGCAAATGCTAGGGAAGTTTCTTCATAAGCAAAGTCCATTTTTTAAATAATTTTGCATGTTCTCTTTTTGAAGACGATAATACAGGGAATGAGTAAGATGCTGATATCTGGCTACAGGCCAGGATAAAAGCCCCTGATAGAGGTAATTCAATTTCAGAATCACTGCTAAATTGATTAATGACTTGTGCACTCAGATGTGTTCAATCAATGATTTAGTATCAAAATACATTAGTCCCATCAAATTGTACTTTCATGACTCCTCCAAAAGTGAATAAAGAAATCTGGGGTGAATTAGCAACTAATCAAAGAGTTCAAACTACCAACAAGTTGTTAAGAGACACTCAAAATCTGTAATGGTAGGTATGATCCCTATTTGGTATGGCAAATTCATGAAATCAAACCTTTGATTGCCAATTCATTGACACCGCCATGACTGTAACAATACCTCTATGTTTAGTCTAAAAAAAAATAAACAAAAAAAACAAACACAACTAAACGGTCTGGTATAACAGCAAATGGTAAAACTCTGTTGATGTAATTAATGTGATGTATATTTTATGTCTTACCAAAGAAAACCTTTCTGTCCAAGATGTGGAAATTTCTATAGCTGACCTTACCTCCCTAAAATAGAAAAGAAATCAATAATTGATAGAAACCTGTAATAAGAATACAAGAGGGCCATGATGGACCAGAATTTGCTCACCTGAATATAAATGACAAGGAACAAGTAATTTTGTAAACTATAAATAAAGATATAAAATCTTAATCTTAAACTGATATCAAAAAGTTCATATTTGTATCTGAAAAAGTGCATGTGTAAAAAACATTACTGGTTGCTATTGCAAAGGAAAATCAACAGTTCCAAAAGATGTGTACATATGAGAAAAAATCAATGACCCCCTGGAACGTCAGCCAATTTTGACCCCAGGGCTTTTAATTGAATAAATTTGGAAGACCCTCAGTAGAAGATATTTCATGCTAAATATCTAAGCTCTAGCTCTTTGGGTTTTTTAAAAGAAGATGTTTTAAGTTTTTATTATATACATATAAGGAAAATCAGTAAGCCCATTGAGCGGGGCTAATTTTTGACCCCCAGGGTCAATCTTTAAGTGTCTGTGCCCAAAAGGGCTTCTCAAATCCATCAAGCTGATCTTTCTTTGTAGTAAGAAAGTTATGGGTCAGCTGGGTCACTACTAATTGAATTGAAACAGTTTTTGAAGTCAGTCATTATGAAAAGTGTTTTTACTGTTCAGTTCAATAACTAGAGAACCATTTGACATGCAGCCTTCTTACTTCATAGGATGATCGCTCTTATTTAGTGGAAGACACCTATTGTATTTTTGGTTCTAATACATGTTGGTCTGAATTTCTGCTCATGCACTGGTACAAAATTACAGTAAGGGTCTTTAAATAAAAGACATTGATGATCGTGTGAAATTTGAAGACTGTGCAAAACGGTTCTAAACTTAATGAGCAGAAATTCAGACCAACATGTTGTCAGTAACAATATTTCAAAATATGTTTACCAATTCACTCAGATATGGAGAGAAAAAAATGCCAAAAGAATTGTAAACACAGTTATATAACTTGACAGAGTCATGGCAGTTTGTAATTATGAAAAATATAAGTTGGCAACGCAAGTCATTGCTATGATTGTGATGAAGTTGAAAAATATTCAATTTTATCCAATATATATAAATGCAAGACTTTACCATGAACCCAGTGACCCCAAACTCCATCCAAACTGAAAGAGTCACCTTATGTATGTTCTTTGTAAATATGAGACATTTGTTAAAAAACAAAAAACAAGAGGGCCATAATGACCCCGAGTTGCTCACCAGAAACAACTGTTTTACAGTGTTTGAAATTATTTTTCAAATCAACATGCGGAAAGGCAAGTCCAGTTCAACTTCAACTTAAGAATGCTACAGACAAAGTTTGGTGATCATCCATCCATCAATTAGTTCAGTAGAAGAACATGGTTAAAGGTTTTTATATTTTTAGCTCTAGAGGCCCCTAAAAGAGGTCAATCAAATTAATTTGATCAAAATTTAGTTAAGAAGAAAGAGATATTTTAAGGTTTTTCTATTTTTAGCTTTAGTGGCCCCTAAAAGGGTCTAATCAAATTAATCAAATCAAATTAATATGAGCAACTTGATAAAAGACTACCTAAGAATGCTACAGACAAAGTTTGGTGATCATCCATCAATTACTTGAGTAGTAAAGGTTTACTATTTTTAGCTCTAGAGGCCCCTAAAAGGGGCAAATCAAATTAATTTGAACAAATTTTATAACAGACCATCTAAGAATGCTACAGAAAATAATTTGAAGGTAAAACCCTATCATTGAATTTCTCTGTATAAAAAATAAATTACCTTTCTCTTTGAATATCTCGGTCTGCAATATGACTTTCTTCTTGCTTCAACTGGTTTAATCGGTCAGCAACTTTAATTGGAGTCTTGAAAAAACAAAACAAATAAAAACTGTAAAACATCATTAACAATCAGACCTCAACAAAATGCTGAGAAAAAAGAAACTTGTTTTATTACAACAGTATAAAGTAATGCAAATTGTTTTGTTTAATTGTAAAGAAGCCATGATGCATTATAACATAGTAAGCAAGAGGCCACAATCTATATATTGTTACTTGCTTAAGAAAAAATACCGTAACTTGAATTAATGATTAAATTGATGTTGTTTAGTGTTTCTTTTTCTTCCTGGCAGATGGCATATGTGCTGGTGTTTCTATTGTAAGATTATCACTTCTAAATGGTGATAATTGTAGTGGAGTCTCTTAGAGTTCCTAATGGATGATCATTTCTTTGAATGTTGGTTGTGCTGTAAATGTACTTTGGAGCCATGCTTTTTTTGGCTGGGTATTGTGCAGAATTTTACCAGTTAAGCAAAAAAACTTTTAAGCAAAATTAAAGGTCAAGTTCACATCTAAATTATTTAATATGTTTCTTTGGTAGCAAGTCTTCTTCTTTTGTCCATGTATAAATGTATTAAATGATATCCTTACATAAATACAAAATTATGGCAATTTTACAAAAAAATCAATAATTTGACCTTGAAGGTCTAGGTCATTTACAGGCCAGGGTCAATGTCAGATCAATCTTTCATTAAGTCTTGTCCAGAAGATTGTTTTGTCCAAGTATGAAGATAATTCATAAGTTAATTACCAAGTACATTTTTGTAAGTGTCAATTATAGCAAAAATCAGTGAAAATTTAAAAATTTAACCTTTAAGGTCAAAGTAAAAAATGAGCCAAGATCAATTTGAATTTGACATACATGAAGGTTTTATCCTAAAGAATGTTTAGTCTTAATATGAACTCAATACATTCATCAATAACAAAGTTATAGTCAGTTACAGCAACAATTGAAAATTTCAATAATTTGACCTTCAATATCAAGGTCATTTACGGGTGAGCGCTTTCGGGCCAAGGCCATGTTCAAATAAAAAAAATTGTGGCGGACCACAAGGTGATGCTACATGCCAAATATTTAAGTTCTAGGTATTCTAGTTTCTGAGAAGTCTTTTTAGTTATTTTGATAATTTGACCCCAGGGGCAAGATTTATATACCTTTGGTAAAGATCCACCTGAAAATGCTAAAAGCCAAATACATTGTATCTAAGGTCTAGGCATTGTAGTTTCATATATAAACCTATGTAAACTAAGTGACCCCTAGGGTGAGTCCAGTTTTAACCCCATGAGCATGATTACATAACTTTGGAGAGGACTACATTGTGATGCTACATGCCAAATTTTTAAGCTCTGGGCACTGTTGTTTCAGTGAAGAACTTTTTTTAAAGTTCTCATCTTTAAAGTCTACTTTTAGCTCCTGTGACCTACTGCATCAGAATGTCACTATTTACATGACTTTTGTAGAGGACCATTTCAGTAAAATTTGGTCAAAGTCCATCCGATGATTTAGAAGACATTGTTAAAAGAAATTGTGGAAGAAATTGTGGATAGCCACAGAAGATGAATGACAAGACACACTGCCATCAAAAAAACTAACCTTTGAGCAGTTTGTGCTTAGGTGAGTTAAAAATGTAAATGTTTTTTCCTATATAAGTCAACGTAAATTAAGCCATCCTGGGAGAGGGACCAATTTTAAAAGTTTTGTAAAGGACTATAAGGTTATGCTACATGCCAAAAATCTTATCTCAGGGTATTTCTGGAATTTTTTCTATTTGTAGTAATAGTGATCTTTAAGCTTGCTCTATACTTAATTTAATAACAATTTATAAATATCTCTCAATCCTGAAGCTTTTGTCTACTTGTTGTTCACTTCTTCCCATTACTAGCATTAGTAAGAAAACTTACTGTTGATCCATGTAATGTCATAGAACTGGAGCTGAATCTTCTTGTTCTTTGTGAATCTATAGTTGAAAAGCTGCATGGTGGACTATAATAATGAAAAAAAAAGCAATTATCATAGCATTGCATTCTGAACATTCTGAAGAGCCATGGCTATTCAAATATGACACTTTTGTTTTTGTAAATCAAATCAAAAAGTTCTTGTTAATTGTGTAACTTACTAACTTTTATTTGTATGTGGACAAGCTAGTCTTTAAAACTTGCTCATCATCCTCCATTCAAAAAAGGTAAGAACAGGAGCTGTCACGCAAGTGACGAATGCCCCCGAAAAGGTTTCTTAAGCATGCATGTATTATAAAAAGAAGAGAATGAAAGTAACTAATTGCTTAATATTGTTCTTGTGAAATGAAGTGCTATTTATAGCAAACTGAACACCTTGGGTTTTGATTGTGACACATCATCTCGATGTGGTAAACATTTATGCCAAATTATTTTAAAATCCTTCAATGCATGACAATGCTACAGTTTGGAAACTAATGTATACCTTCAAACTTTTTATGAGCATACATGTAAGTACCTTCAAATGATTAGAGTGATCTTGACCTTGGAGGTAGGAACATGAGTCTTACACACAACACGTCATCTTGATGTGGTAGAAATTTGTGCAAAGTCATTTTAAAACTCTTCAATGCATGACAAAGTTATAGTCCGGACATGAATGTGTGAACCTTCAAAATATAAGTGTGACCTTGACCTTTGAAGAAGAGTTGTGGTTCTTGGAAGTGACACAACTTTGATATGTGATAGACATTTGTGCCAAGTTATTTCAAAATACAGGCTGGACATGATTGTTGTGTACAGTAAGTGGGGACGCACAAACAGACAGACGGACATGAGCCTTAGCGGAGACACATTGTCTTAATGTGGTAGACATTTATGCCTAGTTTTTTTAAAATCCTTCGATGCATGACAAAGTTACAGTCGGGACACAAATGTGTGTACCTGTTATGTTGTATGGATGATAACAAGATTCAAACTATTCTACAATTTATTATAACCATTTAATACATGTTGTTAAGACCAGAGCTCAAGTGAGAATGACTCAGGTATCAGAGAGGCATGATCATATATATAACATAGCATTAATGAATATCAAGTAAAGGGAAGTAATCCCATTAACTATACAACTAAACATGTAATGAGTTATCTAATCTTGATATCATAACAGTACCTTAAACTTTTAATGTGATAAAGTGAACTTCAAAATGGTAGTGTAACCTTGACCTTTGACGTAGGGACATGATTCTTGGACACGACACATCGTCTTGATGTCCTAAACATGTATGCCATGTTATTCTAAAATCCTTCAATGCATGATTAAGTTACAGTTCAGACACAAATGTGTGTACTTATAAACTCTTATTATGATAAAGATTAAGTGAAACTTCAAAATGTTAGTGTAAACCTTGACCATTGAGGTAGGGACGTGATTCTCGGACCCGATGTGGTAGACATTTAATATATTTATACCAAGTTATTTTAAAATCATTCACTGCATGTCAAAGTTACAGCCTGGACACGATTGTGTGTACCAATTAACTCTAATTGTGATAATGTTAAACTTCAAAATGTTAGTGTGACCTTGACCTTTGAGGTAGGGACGTGGGTCTTTGTCGCGACATGTCGTCTTGATGTGGTAGACATTTATGCCTAGTTATTTTAAAATCCTTCTGTGCATGACAAAGTTTAAAGTCCGGACATGAATGTATGTAGCTATTAACTCTTAATTGTGATAACAAGGCTTTTTTCCTTCTATAACAGGGGCCGATATAAGGCCCCTTCACAATTCACTTTTTTTTCACAAAGTGGCAGAAAAAATTTCACAATTTCAAGAGATTTTACGAAATATTGCGACTTGGTCTTCGAAATACATTGTTTACCGGGTTAATCTACAGACTTGAAGCAGATTTTACATAGGTCAGAAATTATAATCAACCGTTTCCAAATTCAAAATGTCGCAAAATGCTAAGTAATATGTAATTTTTTTCCCCACAAATTTATGACATATATATCACGCATTTTTTCCAAAAAATGAACAGGCCCAGGCCCACAAAAATGGCCTGGATAATATGCAGTAAAACTTTAAAATGTTAGTGTGACCTTAACCTTTGAGGTAGGAACATGGTTCTCGGACGTTACACATTGTCTTGATGTGGTTGACATTTGTGCCAAGCTATTTCAAAATCCCTCAATGTATGACAAAGTTACAGTCCAGACACAAATAAAGTGGTGACAGACAGACAGACGGTGCGATGTTAATATGCCGCCCTTGGGGGCATAAAAATAGTTTTCTTAATCACTACTACTATACAGTGGCTCTTTTTCAGATTTGTTTTGGTCGAGGGCTCTACAACCTTTTCCACTTGAAAATCTATATACATTTGAACATGAAAGGTGACTTCATCTGTTCATAAGGAATATACTTATTAACTATACATTACCTGATTTGCATACTAGCAGTAGACACTAAAATATTTATCATTGGGGCACTGTTACATCTTTTCAGTGTACCAGATGCTGGTATATTGTTTTTGCCATTGCATCCTAAGCTCTCAACATCACGACTGCCGTAGCCTAAAGGTAGGGCAAGATTGTTCGGTGGATCAACCTCCATCTCAAGTTTATTTATAATGCAAGATAGCAGACCATCAATGGCACAGCATTTTTAACAGTTAACATACTTTTTAGATTTCTTTTTCTAAATCTGTACATTTTCATTAACCAGTACATTGCAACTTCTTATTCTCTTCATAATTAGGATTCATAATATAAAACAGATAGTTGCCCTGACAAAGGTGATAACGAGTGTTGTTTTTTGTTTGCTTCTTCTTCGTTGAACGTTTTGCATTTGCGTTAAACTATATTTAAAACTTACAGCCATACGATTAACATCACAATGCCATGATGTTAAACGATTAAGTGTCACAAGCTATACCTAACATAAATAAATATGACAAGTTTAACGAAGCAAGCGTGAAGGTATTGCAAACTTTAAATTTAAAGAAAGTTACGTTGTTTTTATTTATTTTTATTTTATTTATTTTTTTTTTCATTCGTAGCACAGGCACTTCCTGTGTGAATATGTATACACGTGACCACACATTTTGTCTTCGTCACAGTTTGCATAAAGACAGTATTAAAACCCGTTATCAATGATATGGGACTGTACACCGGATATAATCGTGTAAACTCGGAGAAAAAATAAAATACAAAGAAGGTTTTTTTGCAGCTGTGGAAGATTTGTTCAATTCGAAAAATATTTGGAGATTTTTGCATTAAAGGCGCAATGTGAATGGGGATATAACATTCCCCGGTCCGGTCGCTTCCGGTCTCTCCCGGTCTATTTTGACAGACCGGCGAATTGCATGGTCCTCTAACAAATATTTGTAAAAATGGGTCGATTTTTCTAGATGAAAATGGGCGTTGATATAAGATATATTATTTTTTGTATATAATGTATTTTGTTTCCGATTAATTGTCTTTTATATAACGCATTTTTGTTGTTTTTATTTATCTATTTTAATCACAGTTCTATATATATATATATACTATATTTAGCTCCATGATTTAATCAAAGATATAAATGTAAAATCATGTATTCAGTTTCTATAATAATGGTATTTAACCACCCTACATTTCTCAATTATCATGATTTCTGTCTGTTATTACGTAAATACAGAATTTGAAATGCGTATGATTTTGATGGGGTTTGTTGTTGTATTGCACACACACACGCACGCGCGCGCACGCACGCACGCACGCACACACATACACACACACACACATATACTTTTACCAAGTCAATCGAATGAATCTATCTGTCGTTATTTTTTCAGCTCATATGTGTTAATCCGTTCATTTGTTTACTAATAAACTGTATATTTCATACGTGTACACATCCACAAGTCGCACAGTTCCTCAATTACTATAAACTCTGTTTACTGAACTGTAAACACCCACGCATTTGGAATTTTTCCACCTACTTACCTTTTCAGTGACACACTTGTGAATGTAAACCCCACCAAAGTGACTGTATAATTCAAGATTTGATGACCATCAAATATCAGTATATAATCTCAAGCTGTCCCCTTCGTTAAAAAGAATAAATTTAGTAAATACCTTTTCCACAATTTATATTCATACCATAATCTGCATGCAAACTGCCATGTGTATATATATTCTATATATATTCTATATTTGTCTAAGTGAATAAATCATCTTGTTCTCATGTAAATGTACTGTAGAAACTGATTGTAAAATGGAGATTAAGATAATATTATCGACAGTTCAAATATTTTCCTATATTATCAAGTTCTTGAAAAACACGACAACGTGGAGTCATTTCTTTAAATTTTCATGTTTAAAATCGCGTTGTATGTCCACCTTACTGTTAGTACTGTTGTTAATATTTTAGCATAGTAAATGTAATTCAAAGTTAAACTACAACGCGATTTTAAACATGAAAATTTAAAGAAATGAATCCACGTTGTCGTGTTTTTCAAGAAATTGATAATATAGGAAAATATTTGAACTGTCGATAATATTATCTTAATTTCCATTTTACATTAACATACATTGCTGTATGATACACTGATGTCCACAGATCTTGTCAGTTGCTGCTTGCAAGGTTAATAATCTTCCCTATATTACATCGATTTAGTAACTTATAATGCCGATTAAGTAAATTTCAGCCTTTATATGTCATAAAGCGATGAACATTATTACCTCGAGAAAATAATGTCATATGCTAGCAAATGAATAGTTACAGCTGTAATATGCAAATGGCGTTTTGTCTTGAAAAGGGAGTGAATTATGCGCTGCTAAACTTAAGATACATATAGTATTGTATGCATGTAACTGACAGACACACACATGCATGAATATAGAAAAATGAATTTCTTCATGTTAATTGCTCTATTTTTAGTGATGATTTGGTCGCACTGAATCATCACATTTTGTATTGTAACTGCGTGTTGCTAAAAAGCATTTTCGATGTACATACCGCATTAATAACTTTTCTATCTAGAGAAAATATTAGAAATGATAGTTTAACGTCTCAATTCCGACTAAAAGGCGCAAAGAATAGAGGAATTGATAAAAGATTGACCTTGATTTTCTGTCAGAATGTTAGCCACTTTCGACGGCAGCATTTAAAATAAGTATCTGCCTACAACGGCAGCATTTTTTCTTCGACCGGACCAGATTGAACGTTCAAGAAAAGACTCACGGGGTAGATATTTGGCTTGCGTGACCCCAATGGATAAACGTCTATATTAATAACACGAAATCCTGCCATTTAGTTAAAACTTGAGATATTTTGAACAAAAAGCAGACATTTTCACGGATTTTTCCGAAGCTGTCACTTTTTACCTGCTCAAAATAGTCTAAAAACAGGAAAAAACGAGTCCAAAATTACCTAATACAGTAAACTTCACTTATAGCGAACACGGTTATAGCGAACTTCCGGTTATAGGGAACAATTTATTTTGGCCCGAATTTTGCCCTTCTTTATTTAAAATAAAAAAATATGGTTATAGCGAACACGGTTATAAGGAATTATCGCTTATAAGGAACTCATTTCTTAGTCCCAATCTTGTTAAAAGTACAGAAAATTACACTTTTATAACGAACTCCAAAATATTGGCTATCCGTAAATAGACTTTCGTTTTCATTGGAACGGATTAAAACTCGGCGGAATGTACCGTTTATCGTTGTATGTACTTCAATACATCTATTTAAATGAATTTGTATAGTTTTCTATGTAGGATATTTTTAGCATGAGCTCTTTTCACCATTATTTCTTTTCTTCAATAGTTTTGCTCGAGTAAAATAATTATAATAATTTATAATCGGTTTTCAACATAATCACGCATGCTTGCAATTTGCAATGTACGCTTGATTTAATTAAATGAAAAGAAATCATTATCTTCCATAAGTAAAAGTCACCCTTAAATTATAATAGAAGATATTCAATATAAAAGGAAGGAAAAATCGAAAATCTTGTTTATTCTCAATCATGGAAAGAAAACGAAAAGAGTTTAGAAACAAAATATTATATTTTATGAGAAATTGACATAGGGAGTAAATCTTAAACTGGAATAGCAATTATTTAAATTCCAAAAAGTACGCTCTCGGGTATTGTGTCTAAAATAGAATTCATGAATCAAATGCTCTTCAAAATGGCGGACAATGGTAAACAATCAGTTCGTTATATGTAAATCTGTTCGCTATAAACACTCCTGATACAAGGAACTAATTCGATATATGCTTACAAGGAACTCCGGATATAAGGAACAGATTTTGAATGTCCCAATGAGTTCGTTATAAGCTGAGTTTACTGTAGTATCTCCAGTCAATGGACAATAGTTTCATAGCAATGAAATGGGCCGTATTTGTGTAATATAATAATATCAACCTAATTTATAACCTACCTGCACCGAGCGGTAAATTTCAACTATCTGCCATCACTGCAGTGATCTGCCATCACTGGCGCCGGTAATACGGTGTGTAGACGTTGACAATAACTTTAGTGTCCCCACATAAACCTTTTTTGAACAACAAACCGATATTTTGGATAGAATATCGTATTTTTGCTAGGTCGGACACAACCGTGCAACAAATTTTGACTTATGCTGGATACGCAAAAATGGATATATATTTAACATGCAAAAGAAATTAATTCTGTTTCGGTAAAATTGTGAATGAAAATATGGAGACCTGACAACCATTTTTTATTTAAATATGCCCACTGATGTACAACTCAATGTCAACAGGTTGGCATTTTGTACTTTCGGTTTCTACAACCATAATAATAAATATACAAATAATGTACTGTATTGTTTGCTTTTGTATCTATAAATTCACTCATTTTAAGTGGGCATTTACTTAATATATTGGAAACTTGTCAACAACTCCCAGCATTAAATTACTTTATGATTACATGTCTAGTTTCTTAGCTTAGGTTAGACCCGTTCTGTGTATTCATACTATTGTGTTCGAGGTCTGACGGAAAAGCTGAAACGTTGCGATTGCCTGCAACATTCCTATGATCGATTTTTGAAAAGAATATTGAATAAGAAGACACAAAACAATTGAACAATAAGTTCATTTGGTGTGTGCAGTAACATGTGCAAAAGTTATTCTTTGCCAAATTCCGGTTTGTATAGCAACTCACTATATTTCCTTATTTCTTTTAGCCTGTAATTTTCATTAGAATTTGCCCTGAATTCACGTTTTAAACTTGATGAATTCACGATCTCAACTTCATGAATTCATGTTATCAACTTCACGATTACAACTTCACGAATTCAATGATTTCATCATCACGAACTTGAAATCGTGAATTCACGAAGTTAAAATCGTGTAATTCAAATCGTGTTATTCATGAAGTTGAATTTACAAAGTTGAAATCATGAAGTCGTGAAGTTGAAATCGTGATTTCATGAAGTTAATTGAAATCGTGATTTTATGAAGTTGAATTCGTGAAGTTGAAATCGTGAATTCATAAAGTTAAAATCTTAAATTATTGAAGTTGAATCGTGAACTCGTGAATTCGTTAAGATGGACCCGAGAATTCAAGAAGTTTAAATGTTACAACCGGTCTTCCGTAACAAGACCCTAGACTGAATAAAACAAGTTTGCTTCTTTAAAAAGAAGCATACGAGAGGTCTTTTTGCAGCTGTTGAATGTTCAAATGGCGGGTAAGCAAGAAATTTTGATTGGTCGAATTGCATCTGCGGACAGTAACAACATACATGTATCTGATTATGTCCGCCAGTCTCCGGATAAGCTCAAAGGTGTTCCGAAGTTAAAGGAACAGCAAAATTGTGGTAAACATAAGTACACATATAAAAAGATCTAATATATAGTGGTAACGTTTCCTCATAAGACGTTTTCTTTAAAAATGTGACTAATGAATTTAGAAAGCAATATTTGGAAGATATGTTGATAATGAAGTGTACAGAACTTACAGAGTAATGCCAGCTTCCCATAACTTATTCTTGTTATAAATACTTTTATCAGATATCACCTACTGACCAGTTATCTAATAGTTGTTGTGTCATTTTCAGATTAGTACAGTCCCTGGGCACCGTTTCTGTCCAAAA